CTCCAAAAGAAAAACAGCATAGAAATTAAATGCAAAAAGAAGGGGTGCCTGGGTGGCTCAGTTGTTAAGCGGCTGCCTTTGGCTCAAGTCATGATCCCAGGGTCTTGTGATCAAGCCTGCATTAGGCTCCCTGTTTGGCGGAAAGCCTGCTTCTCCCTCTCCCACCCCCCTGCTTGTGTTCCCTCTCTTGCTGTGTGTATCTCTCTCAAATAAATAAATAAATGCAAAAAGAACAAAAAAGGGGTGCCTAGATGGCTTAATCAGTTGAATGTCCAGCTCTTGATTTTATTTTTTTTTAATTTTAATGTTTTTAAAGATTTTATTTATTTATTTGACAGAGAGAGATCACAAGTAGAGAGGCAGGCAGAGAGAGAGAGGGAAGCAGGCTCCCTGCTGAGCAGAGAGCCCAATGCAGGACTCTATCCCAGGACCCTGAGATCATGACCTGAGCCAAAGGCAGCGGCTTAACCCACTGAGCCACCCAGGCGCCCCAGCTCTTGATTTTAGCTCAGGTTGTGATCTTAGGGTTGTGAGATTGAGCCCAGCGTTGGGCTCCTTGCTCAGCACAGTCAGCTTAGGATTCTTTCTTTCCCTCTGCCCATCCTCCTGCTTGTGTGTGCACACAAGAGTGCACTCTCTCACTCTGTCTTTCTCAAATCTTTTAAAAACACACAGTTTGGGGCGCCTGGGTGGCTCAGTGGGTTAAAGCCTCTGCCTTCGGCTCAGGTCATGATCTCAGGGTCTTGGGATCGAGTCCCGCATCGGGCTCTCTGCTCAGCGGGGAGCCTGCTTCCCTCTCTCTCTCTGCCTGCCTCTGCCTTCTTGTGATCTCTGTCAAATAAATAAATAAAATCTTTAAAAATACAAAATAAAAAATAAAAACACACAGTTTACATGGTACAGTATATATGGGTAACCCAAAGCCTGGAAAATGGAATTTCATTAACAGAATTAAATTTTTTATTCTTAAGTTTTGCTATCTTTAAATCATGGACTAAGGTACATAATAACCATAGAAATGTTTTTGAGGGGCGCCTGGGTGGCTCAGTGGGTTAAAGCCTCTGCCTTCAGCTCTGGTCATGATCTCAGGGTCCTGGGATCGAGCCCCGCATCAGGCTCTCTGCTCAGCGGGGATCCTGCTTTCCCCTCTTCTCTCTGCCTGCCTCTCTGCCTACTTGTGATCTCTGTCTGTCAAACAAATTAAAAAAAAAAAAAAGTTTTTGAAAAGCAGAGATTCTCCTGCACACCTTCCTAATGAAGACTCAGGACAGTGACCTGCCCACAGTGACCCACCCTCAACAGAGAGGGTGTTGCTGATATGATGGCCCTTGTTTTGTTTTGTTTTTATGATGGTCCTTGTTTATCTGACTCCAGTATCCTGGACCTTTTCCCTTTGTGTAAAATGTGGAGAGGGTGACCAAAGCATGAGTCCTAGAGGGGCTTGAGAGCCAGAATAGCACTGTGTTTTAGGAACACACAGGGTTCTAGGAAATAGTACTACAACTGGAAAAGTGAAAACTAGTGGAGAGTCCTGTAGCCATACAGCACTCAAAGGAGGCCTGGGAGTGTCTGAAATTGCCATTGTGCGGCCAGTACTAAATGCAACAACAGAGACGCTTGAACTAGCTGTTCTAGGATAGTGGCTTTCAAAGTGTCCCAGGCTAGCAGCAGGAGCATCACCTGGGAGTCTGTTAGTGCAGATAGGAACTATGGTGCCTTTAGAGCATGCCAAAGGAAACATGGCACTAGGAAAGTAGGGGGTCATCTTTAAATCACGTGAATAAGGAAGATGTCTCAGGGAGTAACACTAAAGCCAAGCCTTGAAGGTGGTGAAGGAACTGAGTGGGGAAAGAAGAGCCCTAGGGAAGAAACCATAGTGTGCAGAGCCTCTGAACCTGGGAAGAGCTTGACATAGCCAAGATATGTGGCTCGAACTTAAGTAGGGGTCAGGGCACTCTGGGCCTCTAAGCCTTGATGGGGAGGGGATACAGTTTGAAGAGCAATGGGAGGCCATTTCTCACAGTGGTGAGAATTGATCTGTTTTCATTTTTACAGAGTTGTTCTGGTTGCTGGGTGGAGGACACAGGAGATGAGAGAAGGGTTGGGCCTTGGAAAAGGGCTACTCTTCTCTAAGAAAGATAATGTAGACTCAGGTATTTTCAGGTGAAGGGGAAGTGGTGCTTACATTGATGGGGCTCACTCAGGAGTTTTGGTGCCAGTCAAGATTTAGGAATTGCCAAGCAGCAGTAAGTGTTGAGTTGGTACTAGCAATTTGTACTGAGCCAAGATGGTAGGATTTCATATTTTTGCAACATTAGGTTTACTGCCCAAGAGTAGGAATGTGAAAACTAGAACAATGGTGATCCAGAATTGGAGATGGAACTGGTGTGTCTGGGGAGGGATTGACAGAATGTTTACAGCAGAAAGGGTATTTGGGGGGCAAGGAGGATGGGAGCAGAACAGACCAGCTGAAATGGAGAGAAATGCCTATGGGAACTTGGTGAAGGTGTGGAAATGGGTCAGTGGCTGAAACGTAGGATGATCAGCCTTGTCCAAAAAAAAAAAAAAAAAAAGAAAGAAAAGTCTCTAACAGGTTACTTTGGATTTTCATGGAGAATTTGAAAGAAAAATGGCTGAACTCATTTTTAAATTAAAATAGAAAAAACTTTGAGTTGTCTTTAAAGCTTCTTGTGGCCTGATGCCATAGATAGAAACACAAGTCAGAAAATGACCCACTAGGTCGTGACATGTTTGTTCATTTTTTCTCCTTGAACTGGGTACTACCTATTTTTAAAAAACTTTTCTTAAACTTTAAGTAATCTCTACCCCTATTGTGGGGCTCCAGCTCACAACCCCAAGCTCCAGAGTCACACCTTCCACTGACAGAGCCAGCCACTACTTCATTCATACTTTACCTCTTAGTTTGGCCCATATGTTAGGGGCTCTTCTCAGGTCCTAAGTGCACAGAGCGCTGCTATAGGCAGACTGAGCATAGTCTGGGTGGGCTGGGCAAAGGGAAAATAAAAATAGCTCCGTTGGCCTTGCTAAATGTAAATGAGGCCTGTGAAATTTAGGAGGTTATGGCCCTCCTGTGGCCACTCCTGGAAAGAGCAGCCAAGAAACTTGGGTTCTAGGGCAATGTGTTTTGAGTGTTTTCCAGATCAGCAGCAGCAACACGTGGGAACTTCTTAGAAATGCAGAATCTCAGGATCCATCCCACCTACTGAATCAGAAAATTTGCTGGACGCCATTCCTCATGTCTTTTAAGAAGCCCCTCAGATGATTCTGATGTTAGGTTGAAAACTGTTCTTTTTTTAAATTTTTTTAAAGATTTTGGGACGCCTGGGTGGCTCAGTTGGTTAAGCGGCTGCCTTCAGCTCAGGTCATGATCCCAGCGTCCTGGGATCGAGTCCCGCATCGGGCTCCTTGCTCAGCAGGGAACCTGCTTCTCCCTCTGCCTCTGCCTGCCTCTCGGCCTACTTGTGATCTCTCTCTCTCTCTCTGACAAATAAATAAATAAAATCTTTAAAAAAAATTTTTTTTAAGATTTTATTTATTTGGGAGAGTGTGAAAAAGCATGAGAAGGGAGGTCAGAAGGGAGAAGCAGGCTCCCTGTGGAGCTGGGAGCCCAATGCAGGACTCAATCCCAGGACTCCAGGATCATGATCTGAGCCAAAGACAGTTGCTTAACCAACTGAGCCACCCAGGCACCCTAAATGTTTTTAAGTAGGCCCAACATAGGGCTCCAACTCATGACCCTGAGATCAGGAGTCTCACATGCTCTACCAAACCTGCCAGGTGCCCCAAAATGAGCTGTTTGTAGTTTTTTTTTCCTAATCTCTACACCCAACATGGGGCTCAAAACTCTGAGCTAGCCTGAAGCCCACTCTTCTTAAACCATGCCCCTAGAGCCCCATCTTCCCAAAAATGCACTATCTTAATTTCTATTTTCAAGAATAGCAGAAATTCCTATTTGAAGTTAATCCTATCCCTCTATGTTCTGATCTCCAAAACCTGTCTCCAAGACCTTACTCCATCAACGAAACCCTCAATACCTGTCCTTAAGAATTCAACATCACCAGGGGCGCCTGGGTGGCTCAGTGGGTTAATCCTCTGCCTTCGGCTCAGGTCATGATCCCAGTGTCCTGGAATCGAGCCCCGCATCGGGCTCTCTGCTCAGCGGGGAGCTTGCTTCCTCCTCTCTCTCTACCCTCTCTGCCTACTTGTGATCTCTGTCAAATAAATAAATAAAATCCTAAAAAAAAAAAAAATTCAACATCACCAGGTGGTAGGCCTACTGACATCTGCTTTGCAGAGCCACTTTTTGGGGGAAGAGCAGCTGTTTTGCTGCTTTAACCACTGAAACTGCTCTTAAAAGGAGCCACCAGTTTTTCCTTCTCCCAGAAACTGCTCTTGTGGGTTTTCCTCCTTCCACTCTCCCTGCTGCTTCCACCCACCCACACTTTACTTCTTCCCTAGGCAAATCCATAGGGATGGTAGGTTCAACTAGAAGTGAAGTGAACGTCCACACATACTGCCAGCAGCTCCAGCAATGTGAAAAGCTGTTTGCCTAGGTCCCAAGGCTTGCTCAAAGAATGTTAACCCATGGGATTTACTTTGTACCTGTGGTCTTTTATGTTCAAAATATTCTTTCAGGGGCACCTGGGTGGCTCAGTGGGTTAAAGCCTCTGCCGTCAGCTCACGTCATAATCTCAGGGTCCTGGGACCGAGCCCTGCATCGGCCTCTCTGCTCAGCGGGGAGCCTGCTTCTTCCTCTCTCCCTCTTTGCCTCTCTGCCTCCTTGTGATCTCTTATCAAATAAAATCTTAAAAAATTCTTTCACCAGTATTTCACTCAATACCCACACTGACCTCAGAGCAGAACCAATTTTAGCTCCTCAAAGGGACTGAATCCACAGAGGTTTGTACTAATGTACTTAAGACAGCAGACAGTGTTTTTTTTTTTTTTAAACAAAGAGCCCAAACACACTAGGGGTTAAATAAGCTGCTTCTCTTTCCACTGTTTATTATTAATGTACAAAATATACAAAACCAAAAGAAAAAAAATACTCATCCCTCAAATCCATCGTGGCTCTAACCCAAGACCCTGCACAGAAGCCAACCAATCCACTGTTTTCATAGAAAACAACTGATGCCGAGACCTGGGAAGGAGAGGGCTGGGGAAAGTTGCGTCAGCTTTACGGCACCCACCCAGGAAGGCACCTGGTGGGACTCAGAGGTGGCTGACAGGGCAAGGGAGCCAGAGGCTTCACACCGACAAAGTTCCAGGTGGGGGCATTGTACGCCAACTCCTGAAGGCAGTGCATGTAGTGTGACTGTCAGGCCCAGAGTGCCCGGCAAGTTGATGAAAAGCTGGTCTCACTGAAGTGTTAGTTTCCAGAATAGCTACAGGCAAGGGTGGGCCAACACCACCAGCCTGGCCTATGCCAGCTACAACTTCCACTGGATGCAGACGTGAATTGACCATCAATGAACCTAGCAGACCCATGATGCAGACTTGGGTGTTCATAGAAGGTTGCAAAGTCTTACTTGAGAAAGGACTCAATGGAAAGCCTGTGTCAAGGTGGAAGTGGGGATGATGTATTCCAGAACTCAAATCCAGCCTGATTGAGCCCTCTCAGTGCAGTGGGGTATATAATACCCCTTTTACCATCTCCCCACCCCATGAGAAGAATGAACTTGGCTGGGATGATTTCATAAGTGCAGCTGATCCCGTGTCAGTTCTGTGTGCATGTGGAGGACCCACAATAGGAGAGTAGAGGTGTTCTCCAGGATAACCAGCTTTAGGTTCTCAGGCATAAAGGGTAATACTGGAAAGGGGATTGGGGTTATAGGGCAAATCTCCTCAAAAAGTGAAGCCAACTGGGTCTTCTCTTCAGCAGTCCAGGGTACAGAATGTATCCAGTCTCTCTCCTCCCCAGACTGGAGGAAAATATGTACATCAATGCGCACCAGTGATCAGAAAACCCCCAGAAACCCAAGCAGGTGGGAACTGAGGGGGCCGGCTCCTCATCAGCTGGGGACAGGGGAATGTGGGCCTCACAGAAGCCATAAGAGGGTGGAAGGAGCAAGGCTGCAGTCCACAGGGGTGTGTGTGGGTGGGGCAGAGGAGGTGGTCCCTAGGGCAGGGGGGGCCCATTGACACCCGGGTGGTAGAAGGCACAGTTGTTCTCATAGCGGCAGTTGCCCTTCATCATGAAATGTCGGCAAACAGGGCGGTTGGACATGTCTGTGGGAATGATGGTGGAATCGTTAGAACATGGCTAAGAGGTCAAAGCCACCCTTGCAGCCCCATCCCCACCCTGTCCATAGCATCCCGAAAACGATCTTTCAGGGAGACATGGAATCTTATGGATTTGAGGGAAGGCCAAAAGGTAACAACTACCAGACATACAGAAAATAGGGTGATTTCATGTCTGGCCTAGCATACCCAGCGTAGTGATGCTCCCCCAAAACTTGCACGGGACATCAAAAGCCACGTAGTGAGCAGGAACCATACTCACCTCCTCCATGGCTGTGGCCTCCATCGTGCCCTCGGTGGCCCCCTCCTCCATGGCCAGGGCCATCATGGCTACGGTGCTCATGAGGTGGTGGCCCTCGATGGTCATGGCCTCGGTGACCAGGGACATCATGAGGCCGGTGGCCATGGGGTCCACCATGTCCAGGACCTTCATGGGGGCGATGTCCACTTCCAGCACCCATTCCTCCACCAGGGCCTTCATGGGGGCGATGTCCACTGCCTCCACCCATGCCACTGCCAGGGCCTTCATGAGGACGATGGCCGGTGCCACTGCCCATGCCACCACCAGGACCTTCATGGGGACGATGCCCCCCACCTCCACCCATACTACCGCCAGGGCCTTCGTGGGGGCGGTGCCCACCACCCATGCCACTGCCAGGGCCTTCATGGGGACGATGTCCACTGCTGCTGCTCATGCCCCCACCAGGGCCCCCTCGTCCATTTGGGGGTCCTCCTCCAGAGCGACCTCCTCTGGCCCCCCGGAAGGGAGGAGGAGGAGGAGGGTCATTTCCTCCTCGGCCACCGCGGCCTCTATGGTATGGTCCAGGACCTGGTCCCGGGCCCCCCCCGCATTGGGCCCCCCCGCATGGGGTCACCTGGGCCATCCCAGAAGGGATCACCCCCTCGTGGAGGGGGTGGGGGACCCAAGAGACGTGGGCCCACTGGCCCACCAGGGCCTCCATGAGGACCTGTTAAGGAAAAAAAAAGACAGTATCAGCTATGTGTTACACTCAGGGAGGTCCTCTCCCACCCTAAACCGCCTCCCACCTTTGGGTCAAACCTACATTATTACCAGGCCAAAATTAAGCAAGTAAACCCATTCCAACTTCTCACTATCACCTACCTGGCATAGGTCCCCCAGGCCCAGGGGGGAAGTGCTGCATGGCCTTGGGGCCCCCAGGGCCTCCTGGTGGAAAACCATTGGCTATTGGACCAGGGCCTAATAGTCCATGTGGCACTATTAAAAAAGAAAAAAAGTAGAACAAGAGGATGCTAGAAGAGTGGCATGACTTCCTAATTAGGTGTGCCTTTCTGGCCCTCTCAGACCAACTTGGCAAAGCAATGCTCTGTCCATTCTTGCCCTCCCCACCAGCAGTAATACCCCTGCTCACCACTGGCTGTAAACCCTGCTCCCTCCTCGCCCTCAACTCTGCAGTAGGCTTCCTCCCCCAGGCTCCAGGACTGGCCCTGGTGATTACCGAGCATCTGCTTGATCTTGTCTGAATAGTCTGGTTGCTTCAGCAGTTCCTCTGAGGGATGACTATTTGGGCTACCCTGTAAGGTAAGATGAATAAAGAACAAGGTCAACAGAGTGCAAGGGTAACAACTGCAGAGAAAAGAGCCAGATGAGGAACCAAGTGAGAAGATGAGTACTGGGGTAAAAAGAGAGATTCCAGAGAAACTGGAAAAGAGGAAGGTGGGCTCATACCATGATGGAGGTGAGGATCTCTTGGACATTGATGCCTCCTCCTCCAGGACCCTGGGGGCTCTTCCCAGCACCCATGCTTCCCATGAGATTGGCCAGGACAGGGGGCAACTTGGAGCCACCTGCCCCATCAGGTGAGCCACCAGCTCCCCCAGGCTCGAGAGTCTCAATATATGAGGTCTCATCCATGGAACATTCCTGCAAGACAGGAGAATAATCAGGACTAACTATGAAAGAATGAAGACACATTCCATTTGAAATGGAAATGAATTGTCAAAAGACACATTAAAATTGATCACACCCTCCATCACCACACAGCATGTGCTCACCTCATCTAGGGGGATGAGCTTCGGGGGTACAGGTTCATAGGGCTCAGGATCAGGTTCATGAGGACTATTAGGAACACCAAAGGTGACGGGGAAAAAAAGTGACAAATTATTTATTCAACCCTTCACATTTCCTCCTAGCCCCCACCCACCTCTGAATTAGTCCAGGGAATGTTCCCCTCAGGAGTCCAAGTATTTAACAAGACCATGGTTCATGCCCACATTCTTTTGCTCACCTTTCCTTGTTCAAGAAGAGCTCCTGAAGGATTCCTTTCTCCCGCTCAGCCTGGATGTATCGCTCCTGGCTGTTGCTTCCAGGGGTGACAAGTGGTGAGGGAAGAACCAGGGGCCGCGGGCACACCCACGGCACCTTCTCCTCCATGTTGTCATGGCTCAGACGCCGGGCTGTCTCAAATGCGTGTCGGTCTGACAGTATCTCTCGCTTAGCAGCCTCACCAAAGTCCTTGATCTTATTCACATTTACTATCGGCAAGGAGGAAAAAAAAAGTAAACATAACCCAATCCTTTTTAAACTCCCTATGCCCACTTACTACACAAAAATCTTGACCGCTCACCTCGTTCAGTTTCATCCAGTTCAAAATAGAAATATTCTCTCAGTTTGCCCTCCTCAGGCCACGTCACAGTTTTCCTCTTCCTGCCTTTCCGGGTCAGCTGGCTAGGATCTCCAGGACTCTCCACTGGCTTTGCATCCAGTGCTCCTGGCTCCAAAGAGGCTGTAAGCAGGAGAGGTTTCAGACCAAGGTCCGTCCTTTTAGAAAACCCCCAGACCTGAACCAATTTCTAGACTCACCTGTATCCATGAGCTCTGGGACTTCAACAGCAGGAACTGGGGTGCCTGGGCGGTCTGTGTCCATAGCCTCACAAGGAGGTGCTGGTTCTGGGGAAGAAGGTTTGGCTGTGCTTGGTTCTGTGCTCATTTTCCCTTCAAATGGGCTTGGCTATTGTGAAAGAAAAAGAAGTTCATGAGCTGATGTGAAACAAGGTTAAGGTAAGGCAATTAGTCCAGGGTCTTAGGATCCCCCATGAGTTCCTATAAAGGAAGATTCTGTCATACTACTGACCCTGCACCACCTCCACCACAGTCCACATCTTGTTGTCCTCCCCAACCACTGCCAGGTGCTGAGCCCTTCCTTCTACTTTACTTTTGATACCCTGTCACTCACACCTACGGCCTAGGGCTCATACCTTGGCAGCTGTAGGTGACAGCACCTTCTTCTTCTTCTTAATTTTGATGCCTGGAACAGGGGCTGAATTGAGTGCATCCAGAAAGCCCAGGCCCTCCATGGCTACAAAAGGAAAAAGCATAAAATGGAATCATCAGATCTCTTTCACAATCCTATTCCTATAGACAAAGTCTGGGCAGGAAATGGGCCAATGGAGACCCTGCCACGACTGAGGACATAGTAAGTTCAAGGTAACCAGGAAGTATATGCTGGATTCATATAAGAAATTCTTGTTATTCTATTTTTTATTTTGTTTTTAAGTAATCTCTACAACCAGCGTGGGTCTTGACCTCCCAACCTGGGGATAAAGAGTTGCATGCTCCTCCACTTGCGCCAGCCAGGCGCCCTTTCTTTTAAAAATTCTAAAGGCAAGCAACCGACCCTTTGAGTATGAATTAGAGTTCAGGTAACTGAAGAAGGCAGCCCACATGGACAAGACAGAATATCCCAAAGCTGGGGGTATCCCTAATCAGTCACTGAATAGCACACCTCTAAGACTCATCTCTAAAATTACTTTTAAGTAATCCTATGAAAGGGGACCTCCAGAGGTGCAAAAATTAAGTCACCAAGAAATCCATCCCCCACCCACCCCTCAACATTCATTCTCATTAAGAGTTTGCTCCCAAAGTGCATTCTTCTTCTTTAGACTCACGCTGTGGTGGGATGATCTTCACTTTGATCTCTTTGGTGGCATTCGGTGTGGTGTTCAGTGGCTTATATTTCTTCTCTGCAGGGGGTGCAGCATCTCCTGGAGCAACTGTGGTGCTGTCAGAAGAGGAACTGTCAACAACATCTCTGACTCACTCTGACTTGCCCCTTCTTCTCCCTCATATCCACAGACCTAACCCATGCAGAAACTCAGGATGTGGTCCATACCTCTGACGCTTGAGGGGAATGGGTTTAAGGTTGTACTTGTCAGAAACCACCACTGCACTGGCGTTCTTCTTCACAGGCACCAAAGATGGAGTCTCCAGCTCTAGCCCTGTGGGAAGAAACATGCTGTTGGGGTTGAACTCCCTCCCACTCTCTTAACTCTTCCTCCCTGGTCCAACCCTAAATCTTCATCCAACCCAAGCCTCACCCACTAATGCTCCTTCTTCCATATGTGTGCCCTATCATAAATCCGCTAATCCACTACAAAGTCCTAGGTGTACATCTGCCCACAGACCTTCCCAAGACCAGCCAACAGCCCTACCAGTGGAACGGAATTTGGCGTGACTTGGTGCCGTGGTTCGGAGAGACTTGGGCTTCTCTTTCTTTTTCTCCGGGGCCTCTTCGGCCCGGGTCTCAGCCTTCACCTCAGTCAAGGGTCGCTCAGGAGGGGTGGTTCGACTCTTCCCCTCTTCTTTACGTTTCTTCTTATCTTTCTCTGTTATGAAAATACAAAGCATTAAAGGATTTTACTTGAAGAGAAACACTATTAAGAGGTGAAGCAGGCTAAAGGCACTGAAGGCCAGGTCCCAGTGGGAAAGAAAGAAATACGAGGGATAAAAGACTAAGGAGCTTACCAGCAGGCTGGGTACTACTCTGGGAGCGGATGACAGCCATCCAGTCACTGACAAGGACTGAAGCCAATTTCCGGAGCTCTGCAGGTGAGAGTATAAGGGGAAATGCCTAAGTAGCTAAAAATATTTTCTTCCAATAACAGAAAACAGGGATGTTTAAAGATATACTATGAAAATCTGTATAACAGAAAAAGTAACATAGAATTTTAACAACATGAGATAGGCTCAAAAACCAAACTCTCAAAAATGGAACAATGAGGGGCGCCTGGGTGGCTCAGTGGGTTAAAGCCTCTGCCTTCAGCTCAGGTCCTGATCCTAGGTTCTGGGATCGAGCCCTGCATCGGGCTCTCTGCTCAGCAGGGAGCCTGCTTCCCCCTCTCTGACCACTTGTGATCTCTCTGTCAAATAAATAAATAAAATCTTAAAAAAAAAAAAAATGGAACAATGAATCACATGGTAGTCTTCTATTCCAATCCAGTGGGGGGGTTGGAGGGGAAGATGACACATTAATTACATACAAGGTACATTAAAAAAAACTACATCAGTTGTTTTACATGTATCTCACGTGGCTGTTATAACTTGAAGATTTTTATTCCTCTTTCACAGACACACAGCAGCATAAACATCAGAGTCAGAAAGCTAGAAAGCACCAGAATGAAGCCAGTGCCGATGCTCTTCTGCTAACCATTTAAAAGAACAGAAACTAAAATCAAGCAACAGGCAGGGTTCAAGTATCTGAAAAGCTAAGAACAGTATTACTCTACGTTGTCCTACCTAAAGGCAAACAAAGTTTCAAGGAACAGATTTAGATCCATCTTATAAAAGATTTCCTAAGCCACCTTTTTTCCTAGAATGCTACTAGTGATTAATGGCTTTAAAAAAATGAATTAAATGTAGCAAAGGCGAAGAGCTTAAAACAGACCACTTTAGAGACGGGGAAGGTATTGTTTATTTAGAGAAAAAAGATGGACAGAAAATTTAGAGGACAAAAATGTGTTTCCAAATATACAGGAAAAAAACACAAAAACCCCTACAGCTCTTGCCTTTTGTACTTGGCAAAGAAGAGCTCTTACCTACAGCACCAGCCTCTTGCCAACATTTCCACATATAGACTTATTTGATAATGAGATTGTTGAAAACATTAAACCCTAATTTTCTTTTCTTTTTTTTTTAAAGATTTTATTTATTTGTTTGACAGACAGAGGTTACAAGTGGGCAAGAGAGGCAGGCAGGGAGAGAGCGGAGGAAGCAGGCTCTCTGCGGAGCAGAGAGCCCGGTGTGGGGCTCGATCCCAGGACCCTGGGATCATGACCTGAGCCGAAAGCAGAGGCTTTAACCCACTGAGACACCCAGGGGCCCCATAAACCCTAACTTTTCAAATATACAACTAGCAATTTCTATATTTAAGGCAACATGAACTCCAGTGCATCCCCAATACAGGGATAGCCTAAACCTTTTTGGACCAACTGATACTATGGTCTAGTGAGACTTTAAAAAGGTCCATAAGAAATGTACAAATTTCAGTATTCAAAGAAAGTAACAGAACAATTAAAGCTGTATTCAAAGGTGGCAACAAAACTGAGACAACGGGAAAACAAGGAACACTATACCTGAAAATGAAAAAATAAGAGATGAGCAATGATTTAAAAGGAAATTCTACAGTATGTGTTACATTATGAATTATTATTCAATATACTCTGTTATGTCACAAAAACAGAAGTGGTCAGTATTTAAAAAAACCTAAAACCAAGAATAAAAAAGAATGGAAAGCTAGAGAACATTTTTCACTTAAACACTGTTAAACCCCTTATCTTGGTAAACGTTCCCAGTGTTTTCTTCTATAGCTAAAGAACTTCAGATAGGCTTCCCCAGGCCTACATGCTCCTTTTTTTTTTTTTTTTAAAGATTTTATTTATTTATTTGACAGAGAGAGAGAGATCACAAGTAGGCAGAGAGGCAGGCAGAGAGAGGGAAACAGGCACCCCGCTGAGCAGAGAGCCCGATGCGGGACTCGATTCCAGGACCCCGAGATCAGGACCTGAGCCGAAGGCAGCGGCTTAACCCACTGAGCCACCCAGGCACCCTACATGCTCCTTCTATACCAAACTGCCAAAGCCTCTTTCCAAAAGGCCCTGGCACACCATTCCCTTTAGACAAAAGAATAAGCCTATATTCTGATCAGGGATTAGCTCTGCTAGAATACTGTTCACTTGTGTGATACTACTGTTTTGTGCTAGTGGTTTGTACACTGGGTATAAACCCTTTTCTTCACTAAAGAAAAGGCCGTGAAGCCTTTTCTGGAGCCAGGCCCTGTCTTTATGCCAGAACCGTATGATCCTTGCCAAGGGCTCCAATACCCTTTGTCTTAAGAAAAAGAAAGACTCTGTTGCTAACAAAGCTATGATCTACTCCAGCAGTCAGGATTCTTTCTGCCCATGTCCTAAAGGAAGGTGTTTATCGGTAGTACTATATGTCTATTACACACTGAAGGTCCCAGAATATGCTATATTTATTTAGGAAAATAAAAGGAAATGATGACAACACTCTCTAGGATGACACTATCTTCTCCAAAGAAGTTTAAGTATATACCTTTTACACCAAGAGATAGTAAGCATCAGTTTTTAAGTATGGGGGTCTCGTCTTACATTCAGTAGTAGAGAAATGGACAAATCCCATTCGGAATTCAGAACAGGAAAGGGAGAAAGGTTAGAGAGTCTCAATTTTTAAAAGAAAGAGAAAAGTATAGTGAGGTAGCAAGGAGTGACAGGACAGTTCAAGGATAGGAGTAAGACACAACAGTAACAAAGAGTGGCGCGCCTGGGTGGCTCAGTGGGTTAAGCCTCTGCCTTCAGCTCGGGTCATGATCTCAGGGTCCTGGGATGGAGCCCCGCATCGGGCTCTCTGCTCGGTGGGGAGTCTGCTTCCCCCTCTTTCTCTGCCTGCCTCTCTGCCTACTTGTGATCTCGCTCTATGTCAAATAAATAAATAAAATCTTAAAAAAGAGAAAAGAAAAGAAAAGAAAATAACAAAGAGGCAGTCATGACGAAGGGCTGGCCCCTACCTTCATCCTCACTTGACTTGCTCAGCTGTTTCACCAGTTTGGCTGTGTTGTTCTGTGAGAGATGGGGACAAAGTTAAATACAAGGAGGAAAATGAGTCCTCTTGGAGCGAAGAACTGCACAAACTCACGCACAATTTCTTTTTTGTGAGATTTTATTTTTAAACTCATCTCTACACCCAAGCAGGAGCTCAAACCCACAACCCCAACACCAACTGAGCCAGTTGGGCGCCCTACCCACAATTTCTTAACAGTCCCTAACTGTGACCACCACTACTCTTGTACTTTACCATTTATAAAACCTTTGTAGGCATACAAACCTAATTCTTAAAAAAACCAATGTAGGTAGGGGCATTCATTCCCAATGAAAGACAAGAAAACTGAGGCTCAAATACCTGAACTACCCCAACCACAAACCTATTAATGGACATAAACCAAATCTTCTGATCCTAAACTCCTATTTTTTCTACCACTCTCCTGCACAGGCCCAAGACTGCCACATCAGACTCCATGTATTTTATCTACCAGGCTAAAGCAAAAAGGAAGCACTAGTGTTGTAGAGACTTAAGGTACCTGCTTGAGATGGTCCACAGTGAGCGGGAGGTGCTGCAGGGTCAGTAGAATTTGCTGTAAGAGGGGAATGTTGTTCGTTGTCTTTGAATAGGTCAGCCAATTGTTAAGAAGTTTGTAGCCACCAACATCAATAAACCTGCAGGCAGGTAGGAGAATCTGTAATGCCCTTTCCAGGTTTTGGAGTGCCACATCCCACACTCCTACTCCCCCATCAATGACCTAGGAACCCCCTGCACCCTCTCCCACCTTCTATGTACATCTTCCCAGCCCAGACACCCAGATCCCCACTTACTTGACCAATATTTCTGGTGACTGGGTCTGCAGGAGAATGTTCAAGTAAGTGCATCGACTCACCATCTTTCGTGCTTCCTTCATCAGGCTGTAGGAGAGATATTAAGGTTAGAAATGGAGCAAGAGCCTCTTCTTTCAACAGAAGCATCTCTGATCTGTGGGAGTGCCTAAAAATCCCTATGACTGGGACTTTGCCACAGAGCAGGAAAGTCACACAAGCCTCTGAGGGATGGGATGGAAGACAACTGAAGGGACACCGAGGTCTCTGATCTGGGGAGGTGAGCATCACTGCTTTCGTAACCCACAGGACACACTTGATTCTGCTTCCCAGTTAAGAATGCTAGCACTAACAGCCATCCATTCATAGTCTGTTCAGGACTGGCTTGGTCTTTTGCCTTCCCCTGGGAAACTGGAGAATCCCTGAAGGAAAATGGCAGTCTGGGTATATGGAATGTGACCCAGAACAGAACCAAAAATTCTGTCACCTGGCTCTTCTGCTCCCTTCCTTCCAAAGCATGACTTCGAGACTGTGGACATCCAAACCCAGATTCCATTATGGTGAGGAACCAAGGGATCACCTTTTTCTATCACGTAGTCTAAAATTATTGGATACCGATCTTATTTCACGGACTCACTCTCTTCCCCTCCAAAAACGGTCATTCCTATTTACAGTCGTATTTCAACATAAAATATCCTCTACTCACAATGACTCCAAAAACAGGCAGACTCACCTGAAGATCTTGGAAATCCCATCCACACTCTTAACTTCCCCATCTCGGTTAAGGAAGCTATCCAGGCCCTTGAGCAGCTCTTTGGGATCTATGGGACCCGAACCCATGATCGAGGTTTCTAAGACAAGGACAAAATAAACCCACAGAATAAATGGGTGGCAAGGACAGTCCCACTATACCCTCTAATAAATTCCATTTGTAGAGTAGGTAAAAATTTGTGACTAATTATTCAATCTATATTCAACTACACTCACCATTTTCCAGGTAAGAGAAAATCAAAACATCATTACCACAGAGAAAAAAAGCCCTGGTAAGTTAAGCATGGAGAGGACTGAATGGGAAGACAATTAAGACTGGAGGACTGGGCAGCACACCTTTCTCCCTCCTGGTTACATCCTTCCTAGATAGCTGAACTTCACTAAATTGTACTAGGACTGAGTCAAGTTTCCGTAACAAAACACTCAACATTCCAAGGTATTCTTGCTTATTGTTAGGTCTTATTTCTTAGCTGCTGATAAATCTGGCTTGGGGTGGGGGGGAGTATAGCTTGTTAAGAACTGGTACAATTTCAGACACTTGGGCTAAATATCTTCTAAGATTAGTCAGTTCCTTTTTACCTATTAAGAATCACAATGACCTCCAGCAGTAGAGTATGCTCTGCTTGCACCAGGAGACAATCAGTTGAAGTGACGATCAGTTGATGAGTGATAAAAACTTGAAACATAATCTTTCCCTCAAGAGTGTTGTGGGTAGCTCCCAGAAATGGAGACAAATGGATATAAAGGAAATCAAGCAGGCACTCCTAAGCCTTGAACAGAACTGTCACTCATTAACCAAATACTGCACAAATTTTATTGTTTTAAAGTTAAGACTGGTTTGTGATTTCAAAAGCAAAGATGCAAATCTGATTACTCCCCTTCAAAATCACACCACCATCCAAGATCCCCAAAAGAAAGGCCTGAAATTAGAAACCAGAGAGCCAAAAAGAATGGAATAAAACTAGAAGCTGGGAAAATGCCATTAAATTTTAAATAGCTACTTTAGACCAGATTAGAAAAAGAGCTCATTAAAAGCTAAACTGCTGTTATAGGATAAAGTGTGAAGCAATTTCTAGGCCAAAACCCAAGGTAATTTAGAATCAATGCAGCTCTGTGATTTTTATGCCTCTAAACATGGGATTCTCAGAACCGAAAAAGAAAGCCACCTCGGTACTATCTGCGTTTCGAATGTAAGGTTAAGGCTGGATAGAAAGGAATCAAGAAGAAAACAATTTCTTGCCTCCTACTTATAGTACAGGTAACAGACATAATCCCAGCAGAAAGGTGGGAATATCCATGTTTTACAAACTGTGTTTTGTGCAGATTTTTGTGCAGAAAAGAGAACAAATTTCTTATAACAAAAATTTGTTCTAAAAAGAAAAACAAGCATAACAATCTCAACCTTTTAGTCCTCCCAACAAAAAGGCCAATAAATTTCTAAACAGACAGGTCCTAACAACCTAGCGAAGCAGCAGCAGAAGCAGGGAAGAGGCTGGTTCTTGAGACCATAACCTGTGGGCTGAATACAGACAGAAAGATGAGGTTAAAAAAAAAAAAAAAAAAAAAAATGCTGAGGTGAGCAAATCTGGATTAAGTGTGCTGTTGTTGCTGCTCTGGAACCTCCACAAGGACAGGTAGAACCTGAGGTCAGAAGAAAAACACTGAAGTAGAATACTGGGTAAGATTAGAAGCCCATGGGCCAAATCCACTGAAATGTGGTGATTCTTACAGACACAGACACAGGGAGAAAGGCATTCTTCCATGTAGTAAGACACCATAGAGTGGTATATGGACACTATAGCAAGAGATACATACATAGGTACAACAAAAGGATAAAACAGATTTCCCATCTATTGGAAACTGGAAAAGCAGTGAGTGAATCCAAAGTAATACATAACAGCAACCACAATATACACAATTTGACAAAAAGACTTCAATTAAATTAACATCAATTCAAACCAGCACCCCCCCACACCAGGACAAATACTGCTGACCCAACTGATTCAAACCCAATATACATCACCTTGGAGAACTACTTTTGCACATCCAAGTACAAGCTGAGCCAACAAAAGTATTACCCCTACTTCCTTCAGAAACTCAAAAGGTGTCACCTGAACTCAAATGTTCCTCTTCACATAAGAGGGTGGGAGAGAAGAAAGAATAACGATACCCAGAAAGAGACCAACAGGTACAAAGCTAAATTCTGCCCAGTGCCTTCTGCTGGGAATGGGACCCAGGGACAACTTTTTCCCCATTCACAACAAGCAAGAATAGTCATGGTAAGCTAGAAGACAAAGCAGAAATGTTAAATATTCATTTCCCCCTAGTATTTTTCTATTATTTGTATTCTGGAAATACAATTAACAGAACTAAGTTTCGTCTCACAAGTACCAATCGTGACAAAATGTAAATGGGTTTTCTCATGGCTTTCCTACAGGCAAATTAGTTTTAACTCATTTTAAACTAAGGACTATACCAAGTGTATTACAACCAAATTTCCTTACTTCAAAGTCAGTATATTTTGAAAGAAGCTACAAGGCACTCAACTGGAAAGGAATGAAGAGCCTAAATTCCTGGCACAGGCCTACAGCGGAAAACGCAGAGCTGACCAGGGAAGGAGGGACAGTAACCAAGTGTCATTTCCTAGTCCTTTCTGGAACCTGGAATGAATGCTAAAGGAAGCTTTCTGGAAACAAAAATAATCTAGGGCATATGTTTGTTTTTAATTTCCTTGAAGATAGAACATACAAAAGGGGCAGGGAGAGGGGAAGAACCCCAGCCTTATCTCCACCTTGTCCTAAGCTGTGCATTCCTTCTTATGGATTTTGCAGGCAGAGATGAGCACGACTGACTGACAACACAAGGCTCTGGGGAATTTTCTACCTTTCTTATCAGAGAGAAACGTAGAAATTCTTAAGTGACACCAACTCCTGCCTCCAAAATGACTTTTACTTGAGAGTTATTCAATTAACAGGGTGAAAAATACCTAACTTGGCTAAAGTTATCCCACAGCCATCACAAAAAAAAAAAAAAAAAAAAAAAATTGGTTCAGCACAAAATCCCTATGCAAATCAGAGCCCTTTTAAAACAATCATAACCCTCTTATAACAAGAGGAAGGAGTCTGAATTTACCTTAACTTAGAAGTCTTAGCACTTCAGGAAATGAAAATGCTTTGTATCTGAACCCTGAAATTCCCCTTTTCTTGGTGTTTTGAGGTTATGTCCTAATAGACTCAGTGGACTGAAATTAGGTCTCTCAAGTAATGCACAAGGTCTTACCTCTCCTAAGTAGTAAGCCCTATCCCTCAAACTTATATTGAAAACCTGGTACAGTGATCTCCTCAAAATCTTATTTGCTTTTCAGTGAGGATGTAAAATCACCCAACCCCAGCAAAGGCTTCCAGAATATAACTGGCCACAAACTACAAGGATCAGGTTCTCCGAGGTTCTCTGGATGGATGTGGTTTCCCTAGAAGAACTTGTTGCCCCATCTCCCATGTTAAGGAAGATCTTCTTTAAAAATCCCCTGTTCACTACAGATCAGGAACCCCAATGGGTGGAATATTCAGCTCCCAAGGAAGGTATGCTGCAGAGGCACATGGCAAACTGCTTAAAAGATAAAAAAAAAAACTTGTGGTCAATAGACATGTGGAAGAGTCCCTCCCACCCAACCCAGAAGTTCTAAGTACTAATTTGAGAATCTGTACCCAGCAGAAAATTAGCCCTGAGAGTCTAACCAAGTTACCACAGGACAGCTGTACAAAATGGCTTTCCAATTCTGCCTAGAACCTCCACGCTTCAAATCAGGAATTTAAAAAATGAGAAGTATATGGAGAATTTGACAAAGATTGGACTTTGAAAAAGTTAGAGGAAGATAGAGAAGGGACAGGACACCCAATACCACCCTCAGATAGGGCATGGCTGTGAACATGCACCCACTGCGAAAGCACTGTCAAGTTGAAAAATGAAGAAGACGTTTTTCTGCCATTAATGGTTTTTAAGGAATTTCTTTCTAAAGGGAAGAAAAAAGAAATTCAAAAAAGGTGGCTCTTTGGAAAAAAGAAATGAAGGTTGTGAAATGTAATACCAGAAAGATTTTGCTTACCAGACACCGTAGCTCGCATCCCCCTGCCTTGAGTTTACAACTGCCGCCTCCTTTCCTATTCACTTCTCATCCTAGTACCAAAGTACAGGAGCTACGCAACTGGAGAACGTGATACAGCACTGAACACAAAGAGTTTATCCCCAAACCCAGAGGTGGGAATAAGGGTGATTTAAAAGAAGTCTTGAAGTACCCACCCTCCCCCAGTCTCATTATACAAAGCGACCAAATGCAGGCCCAAGGACTGGTTCCTGAGCAGAAATGGCACAATTCAGTGTCATTAGGCCCCATTTGTCTATTCAAGTAACTTTCACAAGTCCTCCTTTCCCCACTATCTCCCACCACACAAGATCTACATACACACAGCTCTCACACACACCACCAGAAGGCTCCCAGTCTTAAAGTATTGTTGGTTTGACTGGTTTTCCACCCCTGGCAACTGAAGCGGGGTTAAACTTCCAAGCAGTTGTGATGAGTGAAGGAAGGTGAAAATAAAAGCAACAGGCTCTGATCGTTAAATATAAAAACTAGAGCTGCCCAGGAGATGGACAACTTCAAGACCTAATTCTTACAAGCTTTTTCAAGATTATAAAAGATATTGTAAAGTAAATGTCTTTTCCTGTCTAGCAGCAGCGTGCACAGGGAGTCCAGAAAGCATCTGCTCAGGGGTGGAGTTTCAAGAGGGTGGAGAGAAGAAAGCTGATTACATCACCTTTCCGTGCTGCTCCTCCCCCTTGACCAAGTTTCTAGGGCGGCCCTAAGCTCTGGGTGGCAAAAGGGGGAGAAAAAACAACAAAGAAGCAGGGACGACGCCATTTTGTAATGGAGAAGAGGAAAACTTAAAAAAGCTATCCCGGCGCTGCCGGCAGCTAGTTACACCAGAAAACACCCCTTTTCAGTAAAATACCCCAAACCAGCACCCATCCTGAGTGGTCTTTGACCTAATTTGGTTAAGAAAGTTGTGAAAATAAAACCAATTAAAATATTTACAAGAACAATTTTCTGTGGGGAAGAACTGAATTTCCAATTGAGATTCAACCTGCTACCGTCGACCACCCCCATCCTCCCTATAAAGGGAAAGGGGGGAGGACTTGGACCCCTCTCAACAAATAGGGTTGAGGTGGGAGGACAGGAGAAAAATGGGCCAAGACACAACCTGCAACGCCGCTTGGAAGACAAAAGGACAAGGAAAAGTCGCCATATTGAAGCAGGGAAGAAAAAATTCCTTTTAACGACACAAATCTTTTAGAAAGCTAGCATTCAATTGCACTAAATGGCTTTTAAAAATTATACTCCTGAATTGCACATTTCCCAACCTTTACACCCCCTATTAGACTGTATTCCCACCCACCAAAACGTTATCAAGTTAAAATGTTAATCATTTTTGCTTTTAAATAACCTATGCAACCTGCAACAATTACAAAACATTCTTTACCTCCCCATTATCTTGTATGTACTGGCACTAAGATTATATTTTGTACTGAATTAAGTGTCTTGCAATCTTTATTCCTAGATTGCCACCTATTTTAACCACACAAATATACCCCAAGCAAATTACATTAAAATTGAGAGGATTTAACAATTTAAAAAGTCACAGCCAGCTATTACTTCTCTGCCCATCTCCTTACCCTGCAATCTTTATGTACAGATTGCTTATTAATCTGGCAAATTGAAAGGCGCCCTGCTTGTCTCACACACAAAGAAGTGGGACTTCTGGGCCACAAGATCCACCATCTTTTGTATGTGAGCTCATTAACCCTTTTGAAGACTGCTAACAAGAGGAAGTTAACCATTCCTCCTTATAAAAAGCAACACTTATGGCTTTGGCAGTCTGGAAATTGGCTGGATTACCAAGGGTTAACCATCAAATTCCTCACTTGCTGGCCCTCCCTCCACCCTTTCCTTTCCTGCAGCAGGGCAGGAAGGTAGGTGGTAGGGGAGAGAGAACAAGACTGTTTAGACCAAAGGCCCTTTTTTAATGGAGATTAAGTGACCGGCTTGGTCCTTCTCCAGTTCTCTACTTTGTTCTATTGGCTCATTTCTTCCTCTCATTATTTTTGGTTTCACAACGGGAAACGTTGATTTCTTGTTGCAAGGCTGGTTTTGGAAAATTCGACACTTACTATCCAATTTTTTTGCGACGTCAGCACCTCGGGCTCAGGGGGGAGGGGGTTAAAATTTTGGAGAAAAAAAATAAAACCAACCAACCAGGACCCAAAACTCGATTATTTGGGGGGCCTCATTGGATCAAAAAGTCTCTTAAAAAAATGAAGGCCAACTCAGTATTCATTTTCCCCCCACCCAACTCCATTTAGGGAGGGGGGGTCGTAGAAAAAAAGTTCTGAGTGGATTCAAAAAAGTAAACGCTGGATGAGTGGATTTGGGTGGGTTTGGGAAGGGTGGGTGGTTGATTATTTTTGAAGTTATGTGGTGACGGTCCTTCGGCCACAGATTTCAAGTCCCATGCAGCGTGGGCTGGTGGGGTGGGCAAGATAGGTGGGAAGGGGTAGAAGACACAAGTGGTTGGGCTGGTGGCTGCTGTTTTCCCTTTCCCCCCTCTCTCAGGATCCTTTCAAGGGCTTAGGTGGTGCTGCGGCTTGTTTCTTTTTTTCCTCGTGGCCGGCCTGTCTTTCTCCGAGAAAATTCAAACCTGGGATAGAAGGAACACAAGGGAGAAAGATATAATCAATACGGGTTGCTTCAAACACCCAAGTACCGTATCTGTTGTCTCCAAACACCCCGATTTCCTATCCCGGACACAGCCGCCTTCTATAAACCACGGTCCTTATCAGAACTCAAACCTAACTCCCTCCCCAATCCAACGATCTCAACAAAACTTTACCCACCGACCGACAAAACACCCAAACTTACCTCTAAACGAACCCCAGAATGGCGGCTGCCTGCTCGGGCGGAGTCTTTTATACCCGGACACCGCCCAACGCGCCCAAACATGCTAGTGAAACGCCCTTGTCGCGAGACATTGTGCGCGAGGCGTGAACTCATTGGCCAACCCGAAAGACAACTCGCTAGCTGATTGGCTATCCTTCCTTCACCTTCGCTCAGCCCCTTCCCCGCCCGTTCCTTCTTCCGCCTCCTTCCTGGCCCCCCTCGCTTACGAGCGCGTGACTGGAGTCTAGCACCTCCCTTTCCTCTACTTCCACCACTTCCGTCTTCAAGAACACGTCTCGCCCTGGTTGGTAGAACCGGGCCGGCGCATGCGCATTGAGAAGATGTCGGTCGAAATCCCCTTCAAAATTGCTTAAAATGCAAGCTCTAAGTATAAGATCTAGAAGTTGTAGTGATTGGGTCGGGGAAAACGCAATTTTGAAGCCAAATTCGATTGTGACGCAGTTGAAATTGGCTTCTCTCCACAGTCCCCCGTTTACGCTTCCGTTCTGACGCAAGTGCGCGGCCGCCTCCCGCACTGCGGGCTCGCCCTTGGCCCTACCCTAGTCAGGTTCTTGGAGCATGCGCAGTTGCCTTTCCGGCTCTTCCTGCCTTTGGCGTACGTCAACATGGCGGCCTCCGTTTTGTGTTCGTGGCGGAGGCTCCTTCCTACCCTTTCGCCCTTCAGAGGTGCCTACGGAGTTCAGGTAGCTCCTTGGAGCACATTTTGTACAACCGCGACTTACTTATACTTTCTGTAGGTCGTCGCTCCATTGCTGGGAATTCAGGAGCGGAGACTCTCCCGAGTCCTTATTATGCCTTGGCTGTTTAGGCAGCATTGCTTTCACCACTCTTCGCCTTCCCCTCACCCTTCTCAGTACTTCCCGGGTTTTTAATCCCCAGCCAAGGGAAAAGAGTTAGATATTCTTTTCCAAGGCACCAACTAGGCTAAAGAATTAGGTGAAAGATTGGGCCTCTTGGTCGTACACAACCAGCTCTTAAGCAAACATATAATGTTTAAATCTCTCGTGCCCTGGAGTGTCTTTGAGTTGAGGGACACTAACTTCTACCTGCTGAGCTATCTCCCAGTAAAGCTAGGATACGTTCTCACGACCTGAGGACCAGTTCCTTAGCTCTCTTTCTCTAGCTAAATTAAGTTTTTGTTTTGTTTTTTTTAACCAGAGCATACAAGATATTAGTCTTCTACATTGAGGTTTCCCTCCAGCCTCATGTACTCACCACACTGGAGGTTCTTGGTAGGGCAGTGTAGGTTCTTGGTGGGGCAGGGTGGGATAGGAAAGGTTGCACAGCTGCCACTCCCTAAGAGTGGTGACAGGGGTCACCACGGAGTTAATAACAGCTCTGGTAGCTTTAAAGCTAGCGTTAGGACTCAAGTTTGTTCTGACCTGTGGAATGTTGACCTTCAACTTTTGTAAGGCTGGGAAATTCAATGATTGAGGTTGGATTTGGTTGGAGACTCACCTATAATGCATCCTCTCCCCCCTAGGGACCTTCCTTCCAAGAATCTAGACATTCTCCCTTTTCCTTTCTTTTCCCTTTCCTCAGTACATCTTTGAAAGCACGAACACATCATGTGTGTCTTCTCAAATAAGACTGCTTCCTAGTTACCTATCCTAGTTACCCTCTCACATTATCTTCAGGATCCAGTCAGAGACAGAAAATGGTTGTTGATGACTTCAGTTTTACCCCAGCAAAAATGCTATTTTCTAAATATATTTTTGCTTTATTCCATTAGTACGATGGGCATGTTTTTCTTGTCCCTAATGTGGGCAGTGAAACTATCAGTTCCTTTCCTCGAACTCATTTTCTCATTTATTGCCTTATTTATAGGTTCCTCTTCAGACTCTTTGCACCAGAGGCCCCTCTGAGGAAGATTCTTTGTCCCCAATTCCGATAACACCTTATAAGAATGAACCCTGGAAATATCTGGACTCAGAAGGTACCTCTGAATGGGAAAGGGGAGGATCATGTGGGGTCTGCAATAAATGGACAGAGACACTTCTGCTATCCCCACCAGGAATAACTTGTATGAGTTTTCATTTCAGAATACCAGAACCGCTATGGCTCTCGCCCCGTCTGGGCTGACTACCGTAGAAACCACAAAGGTGGAATACCCCCACAACGGACTAGAAAGACATGTATTGTGAGTTTCTGAAGGTGGTATGTGGATGGGATGTGGAATGAGGGTGAATGCCATAGTGACGGTGACAGTAGCACATTTTCTCACAGGACTTTGAACATTCTTCAACTACTAGTTTCTTTTCTCCACAGCGTAGAGATAAAGTTGCTGGGAATCCCTGTCCCATCTGCCGGGATCACAAGCTGCATGTCGACTTTAGGGTAAGGGCAGTCTTTTCTCTAGAATAAGGATTTGGAGCCTCTTTGTAGTGCTAAAGAGATTACCATGGGTGCCCCACTCTTCTTCATAACCTAGCACCTCTACAGTCTATTTTGCATTGATTTTCTAGTAGTATAAAAACATTCCTTTTTCCAGCTTTTTGTCCTCTACTGTGGCTTATACTAAAAATCTTCATCTCTTACCTATGAATTCACAGTCTAAATTGCAGGTCAGAAAAATGTCTTTTTTTTTTTAAGATTTTATTTATTTATTTGATAGAGAGATCACCAGTGGGCAGAGAGGCAGGCAGAGAGGGGCGGAAGCAGGCTCCCCGCCAAGCAGAGAGCCGGATGCGGGGCTCGATCCCAGGACCCTGAGATCATGACCTGAGTCGAAGGCAGAGGCTTAACCTCTGAGCCACCCAGGCACCCCAAAGTGTCTATTTCTAATGGCTAAAGGCTCATTTATATCCATTGCAATTATTAGCAAGTAGATTGGGTTAGTTGTTTTGTTGTTTTTTAGAGAGAGAGTGAGGGAGAAAGAGCACAAGCAGGAGAGGAGCAGGGGGAGTGGGAGCAGACTCCCCACCAAGCAGGGGACCCAACATGGGGCTTGATCCCAGGACCCCAGGATCATGACCCGAACTGAAGGCGGACACTTAACAGACTGAGCCACCCAGAGGCCCCTGAGGTTGTGTGGGATTTTTTTTTGTTTTTTGTTTGTTTTATAGTTTTTTTGTCATGTTGATGTTTGGTAACAAGCCCATACTTAAGGCTGGAGAGCAAATGCATGAAGCAATATACAGAGTTCAATTATTTTTCAAAAAAAATTTATTGCAAGGATAGGACTTGCTCCTTAAAAGAGTTCAAAAAGCATATAAAAATAATAATGGGGGACACCTGGGTGGCTCAGTGGGTTAAGCCTCTGCCTTCGACTCAGGTCATGATCTCAGGGTCCTGGGATGGAGCCCCGCGTGGGGCTCTCTGCTCAGCAGGGAGCCTGCTTCCCTTCCTCTCTCTCTGCCTGCCTCTCTGCCTGCTTGTGATCTCTATCCATCAAATAAATAAATTCTTAAAATAATAATAATAACGGGCAGGGGTGCCTGGGTGGCTCAGTGGGTTAAAGCCTCTGCCTTCGGCTCAGGTCATGGTCCCAGGGTCCTGGGATTGAGCCCCACATCGGGCTCTCTGCTTGGCGGGGAGCCTGCTTCCTCCTCTCTCTGCCTACTTGTGATCTCTGTCTGTCAAATAAATAAATAAAATCTTTAAAAAAAATAAATAATGGGTAAAATGCTCTTCTGAACTTTGGTAAAGGTATTGGAGCAGAAGCTGAATGATTGGTCATTAGGGGAGTTCGAAGGAATTCATATATCAGTCAGCAGATTGGAGTATCTGACTGCTCTCAGTCCCCTCCTGACACCACTGTAGATAACTTCTCAATCTCTTTTTTTTTTTTTTTTTTAAGATTTTATTTATTTATTTGACAGACAGGGATCACAAGTAGGCAGAGAGGCAGGCAGAGAGAGAAGGGGAGGCAGGCTCCCCACTGAGCAGAGAGCCCGATGCAGGACTCGATCCCAGGTCCCTGGGATCATGACTTGTGCCGAAGACAGAGGCTTTAACCCACTGAGCCACCCAGGCGCCCCGGTAATTTCTCAATTTCAACCGTGTACGATTGGTTTAAAAGTAGAACGGCAACACCTGGGTGGCTCAATTGGTTGAGTATCTGACTCTTGATTTTTTCTCAGGTCATGATCTCAGGGTTGTGAGATTGAGCCCCTCATCAGGCTCCATGCTCAGCCAGAAGTCTGCCTGAGATTCTCTCCCTCTCCCTCTGCCTCTCCACTCATTCACACACATACACTCACTCTCTGAAATAAATAAATCTTGAAAAAAACTAGAATACGACCAGTTGTATACAGTTTAGAATCAATTACATAACCAAGGAAGAAAGATTACAAATTGAATAGTGCAGATGATTCTGCTTGCTCTTCCACTCCACAAGCATATCTCCTTTTTTCCATGGGTGTTATCTTTTGTGATTAACCTGCTGGTTGGCAGTCATTCTACATAATTAGACCTATAAAATGGATGTTAATAATACATATGTTACATACAGCATGCTATCGTAAACGTTCATATTTATACATGCACATTATAACACATAACATTTTCTTTTTAAAGATTTTATTTATTTATTTGACAGAGATCGCAAGCAGGCAAAGAGGCAGGCGGAAAGAGAGGAAGGGAAGCAGGCTCCCCGCTGAGCAGAGAGCCAGATGCAGGACTCGATCCCAGGACCCTGGGATCATGACCTGAGCCAGAGGCAGAGGCTTCAACCCACTGAGCCACCCAGGCGCCCCAACACATAACATTTTTAAGTGATTTCAGGGATTGCCAACTGACTGTCCCCAATTTTTTGTGTGAGGGGCTGATTTTAGAACCTAACCCCTGTAGAAGATGGTTCTATGTGAGTCTCAGTGACAGAATGTAGCGTGTGCATGAAATGGTTGCAAGGCCAAGAAATGGGAAATGTTTGCCGGAGTCTTTAAGAATGTATTCAGCAAGGGGCGCCTGGGTGGCTCAGTGGGTTAAAGCCTCCGCCTTCGGCTAAGGTCATGATCCCAGTGTCCTGGGATTGAGCCCCGAGTGGGGCTCTCTGCTCAGCAGGGAGCCTGCTTCCCTTCCTCTCTCTCTGCCTGCCTCTCTGCCTACTTGTGATCTCTGTCTGTCAAAAAAAAAAAAAATGTATTCAGCAAATTGATGGGGCTAAAACTGGGACATGAAGGAGGGTAGCATCTAGAGAGAGATAGGAGTTAAGGGTGTCTATGCACATGTGTAGGGATTGTGCACTTCCAGTTTCTCAAAGTCTTGCTGTTCTCCCTGCTCTTTTATGTTTCCCTACCACTTTCCTCCACAGAACGTGAAGCTCTTGGAACAGTTTGTCTGCGCCCACACAGGTGTCATCTTCCATGCTCCATACACAGGTTAGCTTATCATCCTTGTCACCACCAAAATAGCTTTTTCTTAGAGCACTCCTCATTTATTCAGTCATACAACAGGTAACTTGATGGCCCTTACATAAGGCATAAAAAGCATGAATGAACTTTTTTTTTTTTTAAGATTTTATGTATTTATTTGACAGAGATCACAGGTAGGCAGTGAGAGAGGAAGCAAGCTCCCCGCTGAGCAGAGAGCCCAATGTGGGGCTCGATCCCAGGATGCTGGGATCATGACCTGAGCTGAAGGCAGAGGCTTTTACCCACTGAGCCACCCAGGCGCCCCATGAATGAACTTTCGTTGGAAATCTTGCCTTAATGGGTATATTCACATGTGGACAAAAGGTATAAACAAGTACCAATGTAAGTAAGTTATCTAAATGTAACTCTTAGAAGTGGTAATTACTTCCTTTCTATAGGATCTCTTTGCTTTTACAAAAGGTTTTCTAGCAAATGACTGTCCTATAAATTCTTTTTGCTGCCAACAATCCAATTAGATCTTCCAAGTCTGGAGTTATAATCCTAAAAATTAAAGATTACATCTATTCTGGGGCGCCTGGGTGGCTCAGTGGGTTAAGCCTCTGCCTTTGGCTCAGGTCATGATTTCAGGGTCCTGGGATTGAGCCCCACATGGGGCTCTGCTCAGCAGGTGGCCTGCCCCCTCCACTTGCCTGTCTGTCTACTTGTGATCGCTCTCTCTGTCAAATAAATAAATCTTAAAAAAAAAAAATTATGTCTATTCCTTAATGAAGGCCACAGGCCAAATCTGGCACACTGCCATATCTGTTTATTTTCATACTGTTTATAACTGCTTCCAGGCTACAGTGACAGAGTTGAGTAGCTGAGACAGAAACTGTGGGACTTGCAGATCCTAAAATTTATGTGGCCTGACACAGAAAAAATTTTTAACCATGCTCTAAAGCAAGATAAATTTGCAAAGAATAATCTGAATCCTCCATTTTAGGAATGGCAACATGATCAGTGGAGTTTGGTCTGTCAGGGAGTTTTGCTTCTTATTTATTTATTTATTTATTTATAGTTTTTATTTATTTATTTATTTGTTTAGTCAGGGAGTTTTAAAGACGAGCTTTATGGCCAGGATGCTTGGATGGCTCAGGTCATGATCTCAGGGTCCTGGCCCCATGTCAGGCTTCCTGCTCAATGGGGAGGCAGCTCCCCCTGCTTGTACACTTTGTCTCTGACAAATAAAATAAAAACAAAAACAACTTTGCAGTGAAGCTATAAAAAGCTGAAGGAACTATGTTGCTACTCTCTCAGATCACCTTCTCTAGATCAGGAGCCCCTTCTTCCTTTACTGAATCTTTCTCAATGGATTGTCCAACCCAAACCTTTAATTAACCAAACTTGCCCTTTGAATTATTTTTTGCTCTTGGAGGTTTTATAGTTAAATAGCTTTTCTATAGTGGCTAGACCCCACTAAAGTGTTACTCTCAGCTCTCAGAGAGGGAGGATTCTTCCCATTGCCTAGGTGGGGAAACTGAGGCCAATCAGAGGGGTCAGGGAAGTAGGGTTATTAGGTAGAGCAAGTTATCCAAACCCAGCTCTTTATAACCATATAGAAGCAGTTGTATTCTCTATTTACTCTGCTTTCTAGAATGAGCACTGTTTTCCTTTTCTTCGTTCAGGGGTCTGTATGAAGCAACACAAGAAGTTGACCCAGGCCATCCAGAAAGCCAGAGATCATGGTGAGCATGAGAAGGGGCCCACTGCATTTTTCTTAGCCATAAAGAAGGTGATTTAGGGCTGGAGGGTGGATATAAATACTCCTACCTGTCGGAGGAGGTGGCACCCAACATGTTCTTCCCAAGAATCTCTTTTCAGCACTCCATTGTCCCTTTTTCTCTCTCCTGAGTCTCTTACGTTGTCATTGCCCCGTTGTCTTAATCCTCTTTCCTTTTTCTTCCCTTAAATTCCTCCCTCCCATTATATGTCATTTTACATGTTGTTTTAACCCCAACTACCCTTCCTTATTTCTCTTCCTTTTTTTCTTTAATCCCCTAGGTCTCCTCAGTTGCCACATTCCTCAGGTTGAACCTCGGGACCTTGACTTCAGTACCTCTCATGGAGCTGTGAGTGCTACTCTGCCAGCGCCCTCCCTGGTTTCAGGTGATCCCTGGTATCCATGGTACAGCTGGAAACAGCCACCAGAGAGAGAGTTGTCCCGCCTTCGACGGCTCTATCAGGGCCATCTCCAAGAAGAGAGTGGTCCCCCACCTGAATCAATGCCTGAGGTGCCCCTCACAACCCCAGCTGAAGCCTCCTCCACTGAGCAGAAGAGCCCCCAGAGTGCTCTGTAGGAGCTGTAGACTGGGAAGGAGTTAAGAGATAGTGCCTAGGAATTACATGATGGGATTTCACTCTGGGGAATTTTGTCTCTATGGCCAATGGCAGGCTCAGGGCCAGAGAGAAGAAATGATTGCTGTTGAATGGAATAAATGCTTCCAGGCTTAGGGGAGGGCAGGACAGATGTGTATGGGAAACCCCATACTCTATATATTGTAAGTAATAGGCTAAACGTTGTTACTTGCTTCAGATTTCTGTTAACGTGGCTTTTTCACAATAAAGCTGTATCTCCTGTTTCTTGGCTGAGTTTCAGATTAATGCCATTTGTGCTGGGGGTGGGGGGTGGGTTGCCGGTGAATGGGTGCTGGCTGTGGGGAGAGGAGGGATCAGGCTTGAGCCAGACCAGCCAGTGATTCTTGGGACCAGAAATCACCATAAGTGAACAGTTGGGCTATTATGTCATGGTCGCCTTTCTGGCCTCCTGTGTCCTACGCAGTGGCAGTGTTCCCACGATACCTAGCAGTTTTCTCGGTGTTTGTTGGGGCATGGGGGGTGGGGCTGTTGAAGGGGTTGGAGAATGGGACACTAGGCTAGGAAAAATGCATCGCTGTGACAGCCGTGGGGATGGGGAGTAGCGTTAAGGGACTGGCCCGCTGGGAGTTGCTGGAAGGCTTGGGGCGGTATATGAAAGGGGATGGGCGGAGGATGGGGCGGGTCCTGAGCCCCTCCATAGCTGCTGGGAATTAAAGGCTTCCAGAAGTGCTTCCTCTCCCCCACCTCCTCCCTTCAGGGAGGGGCGGAAGTGACGTGGTATGGGGCGGGGTCTGGCCACGCACAATGGGCCATGGAGTTCTCGTTCGATGTGGATGCGCTGCTCCCGGAGCGGATCACGGTGCTGGACCAGCACCTGCGACCCCCAGCCCGCCGACCCGGAACCACAACGCCGGCCCGGTGACATCTCAAACCCGCCCCAAAGCCCTTCTCTCCTTGTTCTTCTGAAAAACCTGGTCCAGGCACCACGCCCCCTTCTCGCTGACTAGTGACCTCTCCTTTTGTTGCCCTGGCTCGCCCATATGGTGACTTTTGACCTTAGACTTAGTGGAATTGATGGGCACTTGCATCTGTGACCTTTCACTCCTTGGCCTGATTTGTTCTAACCAAAGGATGTGGTTGACCCGCCCTTCCTGCTTCCCAGCAGTAACCTCAGGGAGGAGGGAGTGTACTGTATTGAAAAGAGGTGTGGCAAAAGTTTGGGTTCCAGAAAGGTGGGGTAGAAAATCAGATTGGAGGTCTCCAAGGTAAAGTCAGAGAGTCTTAAGTGCTGAACCTGGGTTGAGGTTATGGCCAAGGTTCCCAGGATCCTCTAATTCAGTGAGTATCTGACTCTTGTTTCCCTGTTTGTTTTGTTTTTTTTCTGTAGTGTTGATCTGCAACAGCAAATTATGACCATTGTAGATGAACTGGGCAAGGCTTCTGCCAAGGTACTGGGGAGTCTTTAGATGGAGAAAAGGGGAGGGCCTTTCTGGGGCCTGTAGATAAGGAAAGCACAGGTCCTTTGAAATGGACTTACAGAAAGTCTGTCTTTATCTTCCTGGCAGGCCCAGCATCTTCCTGCTCCCATCACCAGTGCATCAAGGATGCAGAGTAACCGTCATGTTATGTATGTGCTCAAAGACACTTCAGCGCGACCGTGAGTGCCAAATGCTCTTCCATCCCATACTTGATTCCTTCCTCCCCCAATCCCTCTTCCTCTTGACTCTCCCTTACAAATAGCTGCTACTAGCTTGTTTCATTATTTTCCCCATCCTACAGGGCTGGAAAAGGAGCCATTATCGGCTTCCTTAAAGTTGGATACAAGAAACTCTTTGTACTGGTGAGTATTACTACAAGCTGAGAGTTCACATCCCTTGGCTTCTGAGAATAAAAGGTCTGGACGTTGGGAGGCAGCAACGATGTCTGGGTCCTAAAAGGTACTTGTTTTTCTTTCCCTCTTAGGATGATCGTGAGGCTCACAATGAGGTAGAACCGCTTTGCATTCTGGACTTTTACATCCATGAGTCTCTTCAACGCCATGGCCATGGGCGAGAACTCTTCCACTATATGTTGCAGGTGTCACTTATTTCACCAGTCTATCCAAGACAGAGATCAAAGTCTCCTTTGCACTAACCCCTTCCAGAGGCCCTGCCTTGTACCCTCCTGCCTGCCATGTTCCCGTATCCTCCTATTCCCTTCCCAGGCTCCTGGGTTCCTATTGGCATGCTCTCCTCCAACCTTCTCCTACCCTAAGTCTCCTGTTCCCTGCAGAAGGAGCGAGTTGAACCACACCAACTGGCCATTGACCGACCCTCACAGAAGCTGCTTAAGTTCCTGAATAAACATTACAACCTGGAGACCACAGTCCCACAGGTTAGAGGTTTCAGAGGGTAGATCCTGACTGAGCATTTGCATTGAATCTGTTTATTTGGGGCAAAGAAGTGGAATCTTCCAAGTGTTTCTTATTCCCCATTGTATAGGATTCATTTTATACAGCTACGCTCTTCCTTCCCCTCACCTTTTTTTTGAGGGGGTAACATCTCTCATTGTGCAGCTCTTTGCTGTCATCTATTTTCATTTTTCACTGTTCTGTGTACCCAATAGTATGTTTGTGCTCCAGATGTAGCCAGCTCATTTGCACCTCAGTGTTTATTAAGGCTCAGAAAAATATATTTTCCTTATCCTTTGGGAGTTTTGGTCTAATGTGGAGAATGTGGTTTGTGTATAAGTAAATACAGAATAATGTTACTAATGCTGTCCATTCATTTAGCAAATATTTATTGAGCACTTGACACTGTTCTAGACACTAGGAATACTTACTCAACAAAACAGATAAAAGTCTCTGCCCTTGTAGAGCTTATATTCTAGTTGGTTAGACAAATATAGCTATGAGTGTGTAGCATGGTTGATGATAAGTGTTCTGGAAAGATGAGAGCCACTAAGAAGGCTTGCGAGTACCACTGTGGGGATGGGTGTGCATGGGGTAGCAAGTTTAAGTGGGATAGTCAGGGAAGACCTCACTGAGAAAGTGCCATTTGAGCAATAATTTAAAGGAAGCAATAATACGAGCCAGGTAATGGAGAGTATAGAGAGGGCATCCCAGGCAAAGGGAATGTCTAGTACAAACTCCATGAGTTAGGAATGTGCCTGAGCAAGTGAATTGGCTGGCGTGGCTAGAGCAGCAGGAGTGAAGGGGAGTGTATAGATTAGAGCAGGCAGCAGTGGGGGAGGAATATTATTTCCAACCTTATAGGTTATTGTAAAGGCTTTAGTTTATGCTCTAAGTGGAAAGAGGAGAGTCATGGTAGGAGTTTGAGCAGGGGTATGATAATCTGATTTACTTTTAACCAGACTACTTTGGCTGTTAAGAATAGCAGTAGGCAAGGGGCGCCTGGGTGGCTCAGTGGGTTAAAGCCTCTGCCTTCGGCTCAGGTCGTGATCTCTCAGGGTCCTGGGATCGAGCCCCGCATCAGGCTCTCTGCTTAGCAGGGAGCCTGTTTCCTCCTCTCTCTCTCTCTGCCTGCCTCTCTGCCTACTTGTGATGTCTGTCAAATAAATGAATAAATCTTTAAAAAAAAAAAAAGAATAGCAGTAGGCGGGTGCCTGGGTGGCTCAGATGGTTGAACGTGTGCCTTTGGCTCAGGTCATGTTCCTGGGGTCCTGGGATCAAGTCCCATATTGGGCTCCCTGCTCCTTGGGCAGCCTGCTTCTCCTTCTGCCTCTACCTCTCATGAATAAAGAAATAAAATTAAAAAAAAAAATAGCAGTAGTGGAGGGACGATTGGGTGGCTCACTCGGTTAAGTATCTGCCTTCAGCTCAGGTCGTGATCCTGGGATCCTGGGATTGAGTCCTGCATCAGGCTCCTTGCATGGCACGGAGCCTGTTTGTCCCTCTGCCTGCCCCCCCACTCTCTGACAAATAAATAAAATCTTTAAAAAAAAAAAAAAAAGAATAGCAGTAGGGGAGCAAAGATAGAAGCAAGTAGACCAGTTAGGAAACAAGAATCCTGGGGTGCCTGGGTGGCTTAGTCATTGGGCATCTATCTTTGGCTCAGGTCATGATCCCAGGATCCTGGGATTGAGCCCCACATCTGGCTCCCTGCTCAATGGGGAGCCTGCTTCTCCCTCTCCCTATATATCCACCCCCTTATGTTCTCGCTACCTCTCTCAAATAAATAAAATCTTCTTTTTAAAAAATTTTATTTATCAATTTGATAGAGAGAGGGACAGCGAGAGAGGGAACACAGCAGGGGGAGTGGGAGTTTAGTTACCTGGGGCCACTGGTGATCCTAATCAGCCTTTTCCGTGCAGTGGTGGGTGGAAGACTGAATGGAGTGGGCTTTAGGAGATTGAGAAGCTAGGAAGTGAAGACAAGAATAGGCCACTCTTGGGACGCCTGGGTGGCTCAGTTGGTTAAGCTGCTGCCTTCAGCTCAGGTCATGATCCCCAGGGTCCTGGGATGGAGTCCCGCATCAGGCTCCTTGCTCAGCAGGGAGCCTGCTTCTCTCTCTGCCTGCTGCTCTACCTGCTTTTGTGTTCTCCCTCCCTCTCTCTCTCTCTCTGACAAATAAATAAATAAAATCTTTAAAAAAAAAAAAAAAGAATAGGCCACTCTTAAATGCTGCTTTAAGTGGGGGCATCTGGGTGGCTCAACTGGTTAAGTGTCTGACTCTTGATTTCGGCTCAGGTCATGATCCCCAGGGTCCTGGGATTGAGCCCTGCTGTTTGTCTGGCTCCAGGCTCAACAGGATTGAGGATTTCTCTCCCTTTTCCCCACCCTCCTCCCACTTGGCCTGCAAGCTCTTTATCTCTCAAATAAGTAAATTTTTTTTAAAAAAGTATTTATTTATTTGAGAGAGAGAGAGAGAAAGCACATGCAAGCACACGAGCAGGGTAACGGGCAAGGGGAGAAGCCAACTGCCTGCTGAGTGGGGAGCCCGATGCAGGACTCAATCCCAGAACTCTGGGATCATGACCTGAGCCGAAGGCAGGTGTTTAACTGGCTGAGCTACCCAGGCATCCCTCAAATAAGTAAATCTTTAAAAAAAAAAAAAAAAAATGCTGCTTTAAGGGGAACAAAGAAAGAGCAAGAGCTAGAGGGGAAAGTGGATTAAGAGAGGGTTGATTGGGGCACCTGGGTGGCTCAGTGGTTTAAGCCTCTGCCTTCGGCTCAGGTCATGATCTCAGGGTCCTGGGATCAAGCCCTGCATCAGGCTCTCTGATCGGGGAGCCTGCTTCCCCCTCTTTCTCTGCAGACTTGTGCTCTCCGTCAAATAAATAAGTAAAATCTTAAAAAAAAAAAAAAGTTGACTTTTCAGTTGGAAGAACCAACAACATAAGAACGACTCAGTAGAGAGAAAATGTGATGATGTCAGAGAACATGGAGAGAATTGCTGAAACAATGTCATGGGCAGGAGGGGTTGAGATTGGGTTGACAAGTTAGCCTTGGATTTGGAGCATGGACACTTACTCCACTGTAATATGATTTGATTGTGCTTACAGAGGCATAAAGACATGGTGGTGAATGCTACCTTGGGGTGGGGATTGGGTAAAGGAAGGCTTGACACAAATTTAATCTTGAAAGGTGAATGTCATGGGGACAGTGGACAAGTAGGCAGGCTAAAGTGCATTTCATATATAGGAACCAGCATGAGCAGAAGCGGATAGGTATTCAATTATGTATGGCAGGCAGTTTGGTGTGGCAGTAATGCTGGGCATGTGCTTGTTTCTGGAGGAGGGTGGGTGGGTAGACAGGGTCAAGGCAGGAAACAGGCAGGGTCTGTTTATATTTAGAATGTCTTCCCCTTGTACAGGGGAGGGCAGTGGAGAGCAGTGAAAGGAGCACAGTATCAGGCATACCCAAGTAACTATGAGACCAAAACATTATAGAGTATAAATAATCATGTAAACAATGATTCATGAGCTCTGTGCTATCTACATGGATCGTCTCAGTGGACCCTTGTACATCTCTTTGAGATGGGTACTTCTGTTGGCTGCATTTGAGATTTATACAGTTTAGTGCCTTGACCAAGTTCCCATAGCTAATAAGTAGCAGAGCAAGAATTTGAACCCATTGCCACTCTTTATTTTTTTTTAATGTTAAGCACTTTGGTTTTTTTGTTTTTTGTTTTACTGTTTTTTAAATTTAAATTCAATTAATTAACCCATTGTCCATTCTTTTTTTTTCTTTTAAGGTTTTATTTATTTCACAGACAGAGATCACAAGTAGGCAGAGAGGCAGGCAGAGAGAGAGGGGGAAGCAGGCTCCCCGCCGAGCAGAGGTCCCAGGACCCTGGGACCATGCTTTGAGCCGAAGGCAGAGGCTTTAACCCACTGAGCCACCCAGGTGCCCCCCCATTGCCCATTCTTGATGGGCAGTGTATTCCTGGCTGAAGTGCTACAGCTAGAATTAGGAGTCTGGGGCTTGAGGCCCAGCTCTGTCACTTGTTAGCTACTTGGCTTGAGCAGGCCATGTCTCCAAGTCTTTACTCTTTAACATAGTGACTCCAAGGATTGTTGTGAAGGCCAAATTGAATATGATACTATAATGAAATGACTCTAAGATAGTCAATTACTAGTTATCAAAGTGGCACCCTGTCCTCCAACATGTCTTCCCTTGACAATTCCATTCATTTGAATGCTACTTAAAGCTTAGTTTTTCTCAGTATTTGTATACTTAAGCCATTTGGCCTGGTGTGTGTATGTACGTGTATATGTTTAAGCCTCTGTTTTGAAAGTTTTGGATGCCTCTTCTTCCCTGGTGTTTTGTGCAGTGTGTCTCCATTACCCTGGGTCCTGGGAGAACTAAAAAGTAGGGTACAGGTTTTTGGGTTTTGAGATAAAATGCACTCTTAACTATGGAAAATACACAGTTCAGTGGTTTTTAGTATATTCACAGTGTTGCCTGATTATTCCTGGTCTCTAATTCTAAAACCTTTCCATCACACAAAGAGAAAACCAGAATCATTAAGCAGTCACTTCCTGTATACACCTTTTCCCAGCCTTTGTCAGCCAGTAATCTGCTCTGTCAATTTGCTTATTCTGCACATTTTATATAAATAGAATCATACGATATGTGGCCTTTGTGTTTGCCTTTCACTTACCATAATGTTTTCAGAGGGTTCATTCATGTTGCAACCTGTATCAGTACCACGTGCCTTTTTATGGGTGAATAATATTCATCATATGCAAATACCACATTTTGTTTATCCATTTATCAGCTGATTCAGAATTGGTTGTTTCCATGTTTTGGCTCTTATAAGTAATACTGCTATGAACATTTGTGTGCAAGATTTTGTTTGCACATATCTTTTTAGTTTTCTTTTCTTTTTTTTTTTTAAGATTTTATTTATTTATTTGGCAGAAAGAGAGAGATCACAAGTAGGCAGAGAGGCAGGCAGAGAGAGAGGGAGAAGCGGCTTCCCACTGAGCAGAGAGCCCGATGTGGGGCTTGATCCCAGGACCCTGAGATCACGACCTGAGCAGAACGCAGAGGCTTAACCCACTGAGCCACCCAGGCGTCCCTAGTTTTCTTGGGTATATACCTAAGAGTGGAATTGCTGGTTCATGTGGTAATCTTTAACTTTTTGAGGAACTGACGGAGTGTTTTTCCACAATGACCAACATTTTTTTTAATTTTTTTTTTAAAGATTTTATTTATTTGATAGATGGAGATCACAAGTAGGCAGAGAAGCAGGCAGAGAGTGAGGAGAAAGCAGGCTCCCCGCTGAGCAGAGAGCCCGATGCGGGGCTCGATCCCAGGACCCTGGGATCATGACCTGAGCCGAAGGCAGAAGCTTTAACCCACTGAGCCACCCAGGCGCCCCTATGACCAACATTTTACATCCTCTACCAGCAATGTATGAGTATTCCACACTTGATCTTAGCAAAAAGGCCCAGAAGCGATTGTACGAGTATTCCAATTTCTCGACATCCTCACCAACATTTGTCATTTTCTTTTTTTTTTTTTTTAAGATTTTAATTCATTGATTAGACAGAAAGCACAAGCAGGCAGAGGGAGAGGGAGAAGCAGGCTCCATCCCAGTACCTGGGATCACAATCTGAGCTGAAGTTACAGGCTTAATCGTCTGAGCCACCCAGGTGCTCCACCTTTTTTTTTTTTTTGATTAGCTATGTTAGTGGGTATATCACTGGGATCTCTTTGTAGTTTCAATTTGCATCTCCTTGTTGACTAATGATGTTCAGCATCTTTTCAAGTGCTGATTAGCCATTTGCATATCTTCCTAAGAGAAATGTTTATTCAAGTACTATGCCCACTTTTTTTTTTTTTTAAAGTAAATTCCACACCCAGCCTGGAGCCCAACATGGGGCTTGAACTCATGACCCTGATGAGATCAGGACCTGAAATGAGAGCAAGAGCCAGATACTTAACCAACTGAGCTACCCAGGCACCCTCCTTATGCTTATTTTTAAAGTGTGTTCTCTATTCTTGACTTGTAATTTGTTCTTTATATATTCTAGATATAATGCCCTTATCAGGTGTATGATTTGCAATTATTTTTTCCTATTCTGTGGGTTTTTTTCATTTTTCTAAATAATTTTGTGTATTTCTTTTTTTTTTAAAAGCTTTTACTTATTTATTTGAAAGAGAGAAAGACAGCAAGAGAGGGAACACAAGGAGGGGGAGTGGGAGAGGGAGGAGCAGGCTTCCTGCTGAGCTGGGAGCCCCAGGCAGGACTCAGTCCCAGAACCCTGGAATCTTGACCTGAGCTGAAGGCGGGGGGCCAATGACTGAGCCACCTAGGGGCCCCAGTTTTTTCATTTTCTTTTCAAAAGATTTTATTTATTATTTGACAGAGACACAGCGAGATAGGGAACACAAACAGGGGGAGTGGGAGAGGGAGAAGCAGGCCTCCCGTGGAACAGAGAGCCTGATGTGGGGGTTGATCCCAGGACTCTGGGATCATGACCTGAGCCGAAGGCAGACGCTTAATGACTGAGCCACTCAGGCGCCCCGTTTTTTCATTTTCTTGATTGTGTCTTTGGAAGTACAAAAGTTTTGCTTTCGGTGAAGTCCAGTTTGTTTTTTTTCTTTTGTTACTTGTGCTTTGGTGTCACATTTAAGAAACAATTGCCTAATCCAGGTCATGAAGATTTCCCTGTTTCTTTCTTTCTTTCTTTCTTTTTTTTTTAGAGAGAGTGCACAAGCATGGTGGGTGCGCAGAGGGAGAGAATCTTAAGCAGACTCCTTAGCTGAGCACGGAGCCTGAGTTCATGACCTGAGCTGAAACCAAGAGTTAGATGCTCAGCCAACTGAGCCACTGAGACAATCCCCTTCCATGTTTCCTTCTTAGAGTTTCATAGTTTTAGCTCTTGACACTTAGATCTTTGGGGTGCCTGGCTGGCTTAGTCGGAAGAGCCTGTGACTCTTGATCCTCTAAGTTGTGAGTTTGAGCCCCACATTGAATGCAGAGATTACTTAAATAAACAAAAAAAATTTTAAACCCAAAACATTTAGGGTCTTTGACCCGGTTGAAATTGTTTTTTTCTGATGTGAGTTAGAGGTCCATGTTCATTATCTTACATGTGAATATTCAGTTGTCCAAGCACCATTTGTTAAAGGAAGCTGTTTTTCCCCCATCGAATCATATTGGCACATCCCTTGAAAATTGACTGTAGACACATGGGGTTTTTGCTGGACTCTATTCATGCTGTTGGTCTGTATGTCTCTCTTTTGGCCTCTTCAATACCATTTCGATAACCATACCTTGTAGTAAGTTTTGAGATCAGGAAGTATGAATCCCCCAAGATTGTTTTGGCTATTTGAGGTCCTTTGTAATTCTGTATCAACTTTTGGGATCAGTTTATCCGGGTCTGAGCTTTTAACTGAGTCTGTTAATAAGGACAGGAAGGCTGGCTTTTGTTCTTCCCACTGTGGTTTTTCTGGGACAAGGTTCTGTCCCTATGTAGTTGTGAATGGCTGAATGAACAACTATATTTTACTTGTTTCATCTTATAGGTCAACAACTTTGTGATCTTCGAAGGCTTCTTTGCCCATCAACATCGTAAGTTATGTCACCTTGTATATGTTGGCCAAGTAGTTGGGGTAAGGGGAAGGAAAGAGGTGGATTCTTGATCCCACTGGCCCCCTTACTAAGGGGCACCACCGCTTCCTTCCTCACAGGGCCCCCTGCTCCCTCCCTGAGGGCATCTCGACACTCTCGCGCTGCTGCGATTGATTCTACACCCGCTGGTAAAGCTGCAGTGAATGGGTGGAACTGTAGGCCATGGTGGCTAGCTCCTCTAGAAGCCACAGGGAGCACAGTGCGATTATGGGCAATTTGGGAAAATTCTAAAGCAGCCCAAGTCCCAGCAGTTGTTACCCATCTGCTTTTGCCCTCATGAGCTTAGTACTTCTGAGGCTTGTCAGAACTTTTAACTGAGTGAGCTCATCGGGAGCCTGTTTGATGACTGATATTTATGGCATCTCTTGCTGCTTCAGGTCCATCAAAGTAGGCCAGGGTCACATTCCTTTGCAGACCCCTCAGGTTTCTGTCATTTGAGGGATAGACAAGTGCGGCCACCCCTTCCATTTCCAGTTACAGAATAGTGAGATGAATGGTCCAAAGTTTAAATAATAGTTTTAGAAAATAACGCTCAGAATTTATGATATTTCCAACAAAATAATGAAATTGATCGGGAGAAACCAAATCTAGGAGGTATTGAAATGCTCCCCAGGCTCCCCATTCCATCCTCATACACACACACTCCCTGCCAATCTGAGCCCCACTCCTCCTTCCTCACTGCCTCCCAAGGGTAGAGATGCACAGCTTGCACAGACATGTTCCCTTGCTGAGCTAGCCTTGTGGCTAGCTCTTATCTCCTCCATGGCCAGGAAAGGGAGTAACCACCACTCAAAGAACAATCTGTTACCATTTAATAGCTTTGATCAGTGTCAGGGAGGCAATTCATATCCATGACTCACTTTGCTTGCCAAGGCTTCCCCCATCCAGCTCCTGCTGACTACAGGCTATGAGAGGGAGTGAGAGCCAACAAGGACAGTGAGGACCCAAGTCCACAGGGGGAGGGACCATGGATAAAGCCTAAGTGGATTTGCTGAGCAGTCTCTCATTTGCCACACACAATAGAGAACCTCTTGAGAGGGAAAGGGAGGGAGCAAATAGAAAAGTGAGGGGACGGGAAGCAGAGCTTTGCATAATATGTTAGCCTCCCATTTACTGTGCTAACTCCAAATGTCTTTGTTTTCTCCTCAAACTTTTTTTTTCCTAATAAAGCTTAAATCTTGTCCTGGAAGGAGAGGTTCTGCCCTACCCCAGCCTCCCCTGATCTCTCCAAAGCAATTCCTAATTAACCAAGGACTTTGTCCATCTCATCTAGAGGGACCTGGGGTCCTCGTTGGCCCGGCTGGGACCATTCCACTGCCCCAGAATCCCAGGGGGGCGTGACAGCACCCACTGACAGTAAGAGCTTGCCTCCCTTAGCCAACTTTCTCCTGCATCTCCCAAGTCCCAGAGTCTCCCCCTGGAACTTTCCCCCCAATTCTGCATTTGGCCTACTCCTTCTGGCTCCCCTCAAAAGTGCTCCAGCATTTCCCCTGAATTCCCTCTTGGTGTGAAGGCATTGCAACAGGGCTTCTGCAGTGGAGCTGAACTGAATTCTCTCCTTCCCCAGGAGGAAATGTGGTGTCAGGGAGCAGAGTTTCGGGGTCAAGGGGGTAGTGGCTGGGAGGAGGGGTGCACAGTATGTCTTCTAATGCTTACCTTGTCTGTGTGCTCTCCACTGCCAGCTCCAGCAAGAAAGCTGCCACCCAAGAGAGCAGAGGGAGACATTAAGCCATATTCCTCTAGTGACCGAGAATGTAAGACTGGGGTAGGGTGGCTGGGCTTGGGGGCTTTAACCCAGAAGGATTAGTTCTCTCTAAAGGCTCTGATTTCTCTTTTTTCTATCCAAATCTTTACTGTCATCACTCTCTTCTCCTTTTTCTTCTTTCTCCATCTTGCTCTGTATTTTCCCTCTTGCCAGTTCTGAAGGTAGCTGTGGAGCCTCCTTGGCCCCTAAACAGGGCCCCTCGCCGTGCCACGCCTCCAGCCCACCCACCCCCCCGCTCCAGCAGCCTGGGAAACTCACCAGAACGGGGTCCCCTCCGCCCCTTTGTGCCAGAGCAGGAGTTGCTGCGTTCCCTGCGCCTCTGCCCCCCACACCCTACCGCCCGCCTTCTGCTTGCTACCGACCCTGGGGGCAGCCCAGCCCAACGTCGGCGCACCAGGTAATAGGAGTTGGAGGGTTAGGGAGCCTCAGAACTGTCAAAGAGGGTGTTAGCAATGGCAAAGGGGAGTTTGAATCTGCCAGAGATGTGAAGCAATAGGACAGGTGGATTGGAGAGTCCTGAAACCTTTTGAGAAGAATGTATTGGACCAGATTTATGGGAGCAGTCTGGAAGTAAGTTACATGAAGGAGTAGAATAGTACTTTATATGGACTCTAGGGACTCTAGTTTTTATTTTGTTTTGTTTTAAGGTTTTATTTATTTACTTGACAGAGATCACAAGTAGGCAGAGAGGCAGGCAGAGGGGGAGGGGGAGGCAGGGTCCCTGCTGAGCAGAGAGCCAGACTTGGGGCTCAATCCCAAGACCCTGAGATCATGACCTGAACAGGGCAGAGGCTTAACCCACTGAGCCACCCAGGCTAGTTTAAAAACTAGGGACTCTAGTTTTTTTTTTTTTTTTTTTCAAAGATTTTATTTATTTATTTGACAGACAGAGATCACAAGTAGGCAGAGAGGCAGGCAGAGAGAGAGGAAGGGAAGCAGGCTCCCTGCTGAGCAGAGAGCCCGATGCGGGACTCGATCTCAGGACCCTGGGATCATGACCTGAGCTGAAGGCAGCGGCTTAACCCACTGAGCCACCCAGGCGCCCAGGACTCTAGTTTTTAAAGTGAGAGATGGGAGGAAGGATAGTAAGAACATATCCATTGGGTGGGGGTGGGGGGGACTGAGTCTCTCAGATTGGGGAAATCTTGGTTTCATGCTTACTGGGAAGATGCAATGTTTCTGACAGTTTGGGGAGCCACTGGCCTCATGTTACTGCTTTGTATAGCAGGAACCCATGCCAGCAAATGGAGAGGGTATCTCCTTGATTTCTCTCCCTAGCTTTCTCTTCACTTCTGATTTCTCTGTTTTTCTCTCTCCCCCATTTTCCCTTTCCCTTTCTCCTGTCCATAACACCCTTCCACAGTTCCCTTCCCCGCTCTGATGAGAGTCGATACTGACAGATAGTTACCCCCTTCCCTCCCTGGGAGACCTGGAGTAGGCAGAGCCCCCTTTCCCTGAGAACCCCACATCCACTCTTCCATTGTAGTCCCCAGGTTCCAGTGGAAACTGACAGAGCTTGTAGGATTCCCTCTTCCTCTTTCTTGGGCAAAGATGTTGTTAGGGTCCCAGATGGGCTAATACTTTGTAGCTTTTCTTATGTAGAAAGCACGCCTTCTTTCCTAAGTGGGCTCTGAACACTCCCACAGATAACCTGATTCACCGCCAGATCCTGTGGTTGGGTGGCTCATACTCATTACCCAGAGAAGCACATTCTTGCTTGCTGTTAGACTATGGAACACCTTGGAAGGTCTAAGGGTCTCCTCTGCCAGGGAAACATTTTAAGGAGTCTTGTCCATGGAATAAATCCCACAGTCCTTCTACAGCATTACTGGTGACTCTAATACTGTTTTGTGCTGCCTACCACACTTAACTTCTCAGCCTGCTGAAGCCAACCGATGAGCTCTGCTTCAGAGCAGTTCAGTGATAAAGGACAGGGTCTTAAGACGACCAGGTCCCCAAAGGGATCCACTCAACATTGCCAAACTCTTAATCTCCCCACATTTTGTATATGTGTCCAGGAACCCCCAAACCGATGTCTGCTTTGAGGCTCTAAAGACTTCCTACACTTCTAAAGATACTACCACTTTCCCTAGATCCAGATTCTGTGAGGGAATTATTTCTTGGCAGTAGATCCCATTTAGTATCCTGGAGTCACTCTTAGCCATGTTTCAGAACAAGCCTTGAGTCTCAAGTATCTGTTAGCTTCTGGGATCCCCTCTTGCATACACCCTGCCCCAGTAGCTAGATGATGATATATTCCAGTCTTGTGAGATTTTCTTGAGGTGGTATGGGAACTCTCCCCCTGGCCTGCCTTCTTTTCCTCCATAACAAGAACCTTCCCTGCTCCATACCCAGGGTATGGAACGTCTTCACCCTCCCTACTCTCTGAATGTGTGGTAGATCAGATACTCCTACTGTGTTCCCACATCCCAGTACTTGGGAGCAGGATCTCCCTCTCTCCCAACTCCTTTTCCTTCTCCTTTTCAGTGTTGTCTGAATAAAGTGTGCATTCTTTTGTGTTTTTTAAATGGACATTTTCAATGAAAAAAAAAAATCAAAAAAAACCCCCAAACTTCAGGTCTCAGTCTCATTTGTGTGTCACCTGATTTTTTTCCTGGGATCCCTGGCCCTCTGATTCTCCTTACCTTTGTGATCTGCTGGATCTTATGCAGATTCTGTCTCCTGTAATGTAGTTGCTGGATCCCTCTGTATAGGCTGCTAGATGTACTCCCCCATTGCCTCCAGAAATCTCCAGCTTTCCGCAGTGATGTCTACCCTTTAGCCTAGACCACCCATTGCTGAAATGTCAATATTAACCAACATCTCTGGGATCCACTCATTGCCTCCTGACTATTCCCTGGATTCCGCTTCCCATTCTGATTTCCTGCCCCCACCACCACCCTTGGACCTCTCTCAAGACAATTCCTTTTCCCCCTGAATTCAGCCTTGTCAATCCCTATTTCCCTCTGGTCTGACGTATCCTGTAATTTAAAGTAACCATGTTTTCTAAACCAAACACCAGGGCACCTGGTCCAACAAACTTTTTTGCCTGAGTCTGGTTTTCTGGCATAATTTCGATAACATTTACCCTTACTTTTAACACATTAGAACTAATATCAACAAACCAGGACTACTCCAGAGAAATCTTGGGGTATGAAATGGGCTCCCTCCCCTTTTCTGAGGCACAGCTTAGTTTAAAACCCCATAGGAAAGGTGGTTACCCTTCTCTTTCTCCTGTATTATTCCTTTCATTCCTCTCCTCTGATTCCTTCATCCCCACTCATCTTTCTTCCTATAGCCTCTTCCCCATCATCTCCCATTTCTTCTACAGGGGGGCTCCCCCAGGGCTGGTAGCCCAAAGCTGCTGCTACAGCCGCCATGGGGGGCTGAATTCCTCATCCCCCAATACAGGTAAGTATTCATCCCTCCTTGCCCTCAAATCAGGCTATATTGACTATCTACTCCAGTCTTCCCATACACATGCCTGGTGTTTTCATAGGCAACCAAGAATCAAAGCAGGGGGAACAGGACACAGAGAATAGGTGAGGTCTGAACCCCTCCCCTACCAGCCTCCCACCACCTCTGACTCCTTTTCCTAACATCACTCTCAGCTCCTTTCTCCTCTGAACACCAGCTCCTCTCACAGATTGTTCTACCTAACATCCTAATCTGAAACGCTCTTTTCCCATAGGTTCAACTGGTGCTTACCTTTGGTACTCTCTGAGGGGTTTCAAATTTGGACGTAGCCCTAATGGTTTCAGCCTCATACTCCCATCATATGCCCTATTCTACATCAGGGCTAGACCTTGAAGAGTCTGATCTTAATTGCCACTTTAGTATCCCTATAACCCATTCTCCATCTCCCTCCCACCTACCAGGTCTGCCAGCGAGGAGCAGGTCTTGTCACAGGCTGGGTCTGGGGAAGAACACATGCACACAGTTTCTCCACAGGCCCAGGCCCTACCAGCCCAGGCCTGGACAATGGGTGGGAACATATTCAACGCCAGGTTCATTCGAAACTTGCAGGATCTTCGCAGCACCAGGCCTTGGTGACCGCAACCCCCTCTTACACCTTCAAAGTCAGTATTCTCACTATGGGAGGTAGCCAAAGCCCGCCCTCATAATGGATGTATTCATTCGTTCATTCATTCACTCAGCAGGCTTTATCAATGCCAAGTCATTTGTATTTTATTTTTAACCAGAGTAATAAAAGTATTTATTTTTATCGCGAGAGCTGCTGGAAGTTGTCATTATTTTCAATCCCACCCCTCGCTCTTCGTGTACCTGGTTCAGGCCCATTATTCCCCCAGCTTTTTGCTCAAGCGCTACAGGTAAAACATCCCTGTTTGCCGGGACCTAATTTACTGCGCAAGCGCGCTTAGACGGCCTCGCGAGCCGGCAAGCGCAAGCGCACTCACTGCAGACGAATGCCTCATCGCCTCCTTGGAACCCGCTGCAGTGCGCAAGCGCGCAACATCTCCGTTTCCCTCTCTCCAGCCCCTTCACACACACCATCCCCCCCCTTTCCCCTTCAAGAAGCCGGCTCCGGGGCGCGCTCACCCCTGTGAGGAGGCCAGAGGCCGGACACTGGAGGCGCTGTCTCCGCTCCCGTTAGATCATGTACCAGCCCAGCCGGGGGGCGGCCCGGCATCTCGGCCCCTGCCTCCGCACTTACCAGGCTCGCCCCCAGGTGAGAGCAGAGGGGAAACAGGAGGGGAGGAGAGGGGGCGGGGAGAGACCCTCTCAGAGTCGGCGTGTGGGGCGGAGCGCGCGCCCTGTCCGCGCAGGCGCAATGCCGTCCTACCGTCCTCCTCACCTGTGCAGGGCGGCGCGTGGAGGGGCGAGGGGTCGCGGGGACCCGGAGGAGCGTACAGCCGGGCGTGGCGTGCACGCGATGTTGGTTCTCCCGGGTCTCGGGTGTGCAGGCGGCATTGAAGCAGGGACGGCGGGGCGCGGCCGCATTTCTCCGGCGTTTCCGCGGTTACCTGTGCATGGAGGTGATTTGAAGGACAAGGGGCGGAGAGGTTCGCAGCCTGGCCGCGGAGCCGCCCCGGAATTCCCAGATCCCTAACAGACAGACCTGCGGGCCGCCCTGTGCAGCCCGCGTATCTTACACCGGGATAGCGGTCAGGGCGGAAAGGCCGGCCTGGGTGGATCCGGTTCTAGCCCCTGCGCCCGGCAGAGCAAAATGGCCACGCCCCCAGCGGAGACGGCGCCTTGGGGCCGGTGGTACCCCCCGCACCGCCCGCGAGCCTTCCCGGAAGTGAGACAGCCCCGCAGGGGTTCCTTGAGAGCGAAGGACTCGGGCGAGGCCTTACTTTGGGTGACCTCCCGCCCGTCGCACTTTCAACTTCGGTAAACCAGGCGACTTGAAGCCCAGCCTTTAACGGTCTCCTCGGCTTGTTTGTGTCATTAGCGGAGCCCGAAAAGATAGTAACTCACATTTACATACTACTTTATAGATGACGAAGTTATATTTACATTTATTATGTCCGATAGCCCTCATAACAGTTAAGTGTGCTTCATCGTCCTTGTGTATAAAAAGACATTTATAAGAAATAGGCATAGGGAATGAGAGTGCCCAAGGTAATCAGAGCTCAGAGAAATGTCCCCTGCTTACAGCTGGATGTTTTTTTCTATCACACACTTCATGGTGGAGTTGTGTTACCGGCCACGTCATTTCATCCACATTTACACTAAAATCTGTTGCTCCATTCCTTTGTTCATTTTTCAAAATATTAGGATTTTTTCTGTAAGAGATGTGTAACTGCCCCCAAACAGTGTTGTGATCTTAAACTAATGTTTTGGGGAAGTATTTGTACCTGTGTCACAGGAAACTTTCTGTTTTCAGTAGAGATAAAGTTGAATTCATCCCATTTTTCTCCTGTCAGGAGGAGCAGGTGGGATTGGAAGCATATTAATGAACAGAGTTTAGATGAGGGGGCATCAGTTAGCTAGATTCTTATCTTTTTCCTTTTATTATTCCTCCTTAGGACCAGCTTTCTCCACGGACTCTACCTTTCCCGCCCCTGTGGCCCCCCTCCACAACAGCCACTTCTCCATCTTCTCTTCTCTGGTCTCCCCCCCCCCCACACCCTCCGATCTGGCTGCTTCCCCGGGCTCTCCCGCCACATCTCCCTCAGATCCAGGCCCTCAGCTCACCATGGGTGGTTCTCCCTCCTAGAAAGGGAGAGGAGGCACCAGGACCTGAGATGCATAGTGGCTGCCTGGATGGGCTTAGGAGCCTATTTGAGGGACCTCCCTGCCCCTGTCCTGGGGCTTTGATACCTTTCCAAGCCCCAGGAACCTCTCACCCTTCCCCTGCCACTCCATCAGGAGATCCAAGTATGGAGGAGCACCTGGCTGTCATGTATGAGAGACTGAGACAAGAGGTAAGTCAGCTTGAAAGTGGCCTCCATCTGCAGTGAGAAGGGATGTAGATAGACCTGGAAATAGAGGGCTAGTCGACTGGATTTCTTGGAATTATGAGACAGGCATATAAACATTTCCCAAGAAAAATATATTTTTCAGTTTGGATTTAAGGGAAGTTAAATATGGGATGAGATGACTTTTTACTCAGAGGGGAGTAAAGAAGCATCAAAGAGAAAACTGAGAAGTAGGATCATCTTTTCTTTCCTACTGGGCTGATGCCTTCTTCTTCCACCCAGCTTCCCAATCTCTTCCTTCACTCCCACGACTATACTCTCTACTCATCGGATGTGGAATTCATCAATGAGATCCTGAACATCCGTACCAAGTGAGAATCCAGGCACGGGTAGGGCCTTGGGGAGGAAAAGCACCATGTGCTTTCTACTTGATTTTTCATTTACCAGAGAATGTCCTGCCACCTCTCACAACTGTTTCCCGTTCCCCAGACAGAGGCCAGTTTGGTTTTCTGATTATGCCATCATGAGCGATCTTTCCCATCCCTTCTTCCCAGGGGCCGGACATGGTACATTCTGTCACTGACCCTCTGCCGCTTCCTGGCCTGGAACTATTTTGCACAGCTTCGGTTGGAGGTTCTACAGCTGACCCGCCACCCAGAGAATTGGACCCTGCAAGCCCGCTGGCGGCTTGTGGGGCTGCCCATCCACATGCTCTTTCTGCGTTTCTACAAGCGAGACAAGGAAGAGCTTTATCGGTAAGATAAGTGAGAAAAGATCTAATCGGTTTCTTAATCCTGCCTTTAGGACTCTGATCTAGTCTTCCAGACCATCCTTGATATACTGTGACTTGACTGCAGCCTCCTTGAGAGCAGGGATTTTGTTTTCTCTACCAGGAATCAGGGACATTGAGTGTGTTAAGAAACCTCTAGACTCTGTTTTTTGGTGTACATTATGTGGCACATCATAGTCATTCAAGTATTTATTGAACAAATGAAAATTCCTAATAAGTTGAGCTTCATAATCTTAGGTAGAGTATTTAGTAAATTTCTGGCATAGAACAGAATCCCAGGAAATTGTTAGGTTTGGCCCAAACCAGTGATTCTCAAAAATCATCTAAGGATCTTTAAAGTTTAAATACCGGTGCCAGACATTCAGATTTAAGTGGGACAGGGTACAACCTGAGCATCAGTTATTTTTGAGTTCTCCTCATCTACATCTACAGTGTAGCAAAATTTAGGAACTACTGGTTTAAACAAATGCTTGAATTAAACTTTGGGACTAGTCACCTCCCTCGGTAAGCCTCTCTTTTCCCCTTCACCAGGACCTATGATGCCTATTCCACCTTCTACCTGAATTCCAGTGGCCTCATTTGTCGCCATCGCCTAGACAAAGTAAGTCCTTAGGCTGGATGGGGATGGGTGAAGGTGTAGAACATCCCACCAACTGGCCTTAACCTCTGTCCCTGCAGCTGATGCCTTCACACTCAGCCCCAACGCCTGTGAAAAAGCTGCTAGTGGGAGCCCTGGTGACTCTGGGACTGTCAGAGCCAGAACCCAACTTACACCTGTGTTCTAAGACCTGATCCAGGAACTGGGGTAAAGGCAGCACTGAAGACTTTGCTATATACGCACAAGAGGAAGTGGTGGAGGGGGCCTAGAATCTCAGGAGCCAGCTTCCTCCCCTCTTTACTCTCCTTTTTTGCCATCTCATGCTGTGTAAAGCTGCTATGTAATTTAACTTGTAAATAATAAAGTCTAAGTGAATATATGAGAATTTCCATGTTACTTTCTCTGCATCTCAAAAGTTCCCATAAGCTTGGGACACCTGGCTGGCTCAGTCGGTAGAGCATAGGACTCTTGATCCTTGGGGTTGTGAGTTCAAGCCCCATGCTGAGCATGGAGGCTACTTAAAATAATAATTCTTTCTCTTTCAAGTCTTTTTTTAAAAATAAAATATAAATCAATTAAAATTTAAAGTTCCTACAAGCTTTATTCCAAAAATGTATATTAAATAATGTTACAGAAGGAAAAAGAGGGGTGTTGGGTTCTGTTTGTGTCCCCTCCTCTTTACCCTAGCTCTTCTCGTGTCTTGCCTATTTTTTTTGGCATTTTCTTAGAATGGGGATCTTCTAGTTCCTTGGCCTTATAATAGTGAGGAGCCACCTCCAGAAGCCAACTGCTCTCAATTTCCAATACCTACAAGAGGAGAGAAAAAGTCAGTAGGGTTCCCCTTTTTCCAACCTACACTCTAGTGTATGTGTAATCAAAAAAGTTTCTTTCTTCCACCTTTGACTACAGGGCTAGGGGCAAGGTGCCAGGCTCTAATACTATATACCCCAAGGGCAGACATAACCTTTACATGTCATTCAGGATCCCCAGTAAACTATCCCTAAAAAACCTAGTCATAAAGACTGTAAAGTACACTCAGGACAGAGACCACATCTGCTTTGTTCACCATTCTTACCCCAGCATCTGAAACACCAAGATACTAGGCATTCAAATATGCACTGAATGAGTATGCAGTTCTTAGATCTTAGTAGATGCTGACATAGCTGTTGAGAGAAGGCCTTTCTATTTTATCCTGCCTTAAAGCAAAGTGTTTTCCTATTTCTCTGCTGGTCTCAGCAACCTGAACCTGGGTTTTTAGCTTGTTAGGATCCTACCTCCCCCCACATCTGCACCATCCTGGGCAAGGGAAGGTCCCCTCACCTGTCTCATGAACTCCTTGGTGGTCAAGACAAGTTCATGGTAGAGCAGCCAACGTGGCTGTTCATCAAACAGGGAGGAGTTG